TTAAATATATTTTATGGTTAAATAAAAAACCAAAATAAAATCTATTGTTAAATAATTGTAGTTAAATTTAATTAAAAGAATATTAAACACTTTCAAACATACAAACACACAAAATAACATAAATTAAAATTGTTATATAATAAATAAATGCAGTTTTATTTGTGGTTATTTTCTTCTCTTCTTTAAAAATGTTTTGTTAGTAAAAATAATTGAAGCTCTGATATAGTTTTACAATTTTATATAATAACATATTCCTAATATTTTAGTTTTTATCATATTTTTTTTAAATTTTATATTACTAAAATTTCTTTTATAATTTCTAAAAAATCTTATATTAAAATTTGATTATTAAAGTTGTTATTTAAATTATTATAAGCAATTATTGTTTATTGTTATTTTGTTATAAATTTTTCCTTTATTATTTTAAAGCAAGGAATCATTTTAGCACACACAATTTATTATTGCACTTTTAAGAGTTTTTAATTTAAGAATAAAAGGAACTAAACCATATTTAAAATCGCAATAGTTCTAATAATGTCAGCACACTGATCATCTCTAAAGTCATATTATATTACATTATCAGAAAGGCAATGTAGATAGCAATCTAAAGGCAGAATCTTAAACTTCTCCAGAAAAGTTCTCGTTAACATCTATGTCCATGAAGAGTTATTTTGCAAAAAAGAAGACAGAAATAATATCGTGAATGGATTTTGCTTAATATATTGTGTACTTCTCTAGATTAGTGGATACATCTGAGAGAAAGAGAGAGAAAGAAAGAAAGAGAAAGAAAGAAAGAAAGAGAAAGAAAGAAAGAGAGAGGGAGAGAGAAAAATGAAAGGAATATAATTGGTTGTATGAATTTATAATATAAGTATATCAATTATTATTTATTATGTGCTGCTTGAAACTGAATTATAAATACCCTAAATATTAAAAATACTAAATTAAGAATTTTTACTAGTTATGCATAATATAACCTATAAACTTAGCTGTAAATATGCTGTAGATAATTGTGAGTCTCTCTAAGAACAATTTATAGTTAACCAGTATTAAATATTTTTTTTTTTTAAGTATAAATGTTAATTTATATTAAATGAAAAAATTATTTTTTTTTTTTTAAATTCAATATTATTGTTAAATTATGTTTTTTTTTTTCATATTGCTTTATTTTATTATATTATTTGTTAATGTTAAATTATTAAATTATTATATTATAAATATTATTTTATTATTATAAAATGAACTTATGGGTACAAGTTATCGGTAAAGATAGTTGTGTTTTTGTTACCTTTTGTATTTCCTTTGCCGTTTATAAATTATTGAAAATTTAACTTTGAGTTTTAACAATAACCAAGTATGTGGGCATCATAAATTAGTAGTAATAAGATAAATAATACAAGGATACAGCTTGAGATTAATTTCTGTGTTACTACAATTATATAAAAATTGATTCCTTAATACCATACTGTAAAACCAACAAAACTGGTACTGATTGTACTAAATGCAGTCATCATTGAGAATTTTATGATCATATGTCAGAAGTGGAAGACCAAAAAGTTATCCGAAGTTTTATATTCCATTTGCATATATCTTTTTTAAATTCTGTAAATAAATACGTCTACACTATAAATAACTAGATAATGATAATAATCGAGACCTTACAACTTTTCAAAAATTAGTTCCTGTAATACCGTCGTAATGTATACAAATACAATTAAAATATATAATTAGAATGTCGTCAAATATTCGTTCCCGATCGATTAGAACAAAAGGAACTAGCTTTTGTAGAATGAATATTTTCACGTGCTTGATCCTCCAACAATAGATTAGGTGATGTTTCAAAAACCAGATTCGTATCTAGTTTTAATTAAGAATTCAGTTAAGAAGTTAAAAAAAAATCGTTTCGCTACAATTTTTATCTCTTTAGAATAGTACCAATATTGCTCTTCTATGCAATAGGTTTTTATTTTTTCATTTATTAAATATAAATAATAAATAAAATTAATAGAATTTATATTTCAGAACATAGCACAAGTCGCAGTGGTATCGATTCTTCTGTAAATAATTTGGATCACAGTATAGAAATAGAAGTGGAAATACCATCTGTCCATGGACGTCGTAGAGAAAAAAAGAAAAAGGAAGACATAGAAATGGCATTTAGGCGAAGAATAAATCGTGACATGAAAGAGCGTCAACTTTTATTGCACAAGGCTAGTCTTCTATGCCTTTTCGGTAGAAGCTACAAATATAATCGTATTCTTAATGATACACTGCTAATGTCTGCTGCACTAAAATTGCTACCTGGTAAAGAATCATATCCAAACGAAGGAGGTACTGAAGTTAAATATTTCGTGTCTTTGGTTAAGTGGTTTAAAGGTACGGTTAAAGTTGCGGATAATGTATTTTATTCAACGAAACGAGTACGCAACAAACGCAAAGAATTGTTGCAGCAAATTCAACGTAAAGAAGCACTTTGTAACCAAGATCTTGTTTTTATCCTTGTTATTCTCTTACGAGGTATGGGCATACAATGCCGTTTAATAGTAAATTTGCAACCGCTTCCTATACGACCACCTCAATCGGATTTATTAGTAATTAAATTGAAACCTGATGATGGTAACAATAAAGAAACTGTACCACCTAAGAAATCAAAATCTAGTGAACTATCTGACAAATCTAGTAAAGAATCAACACCAATGAAATCTGAAAAAAAAATAGAACAAAAACTTACAGCTGGTGTTAAATCTAAATCCGCTGAGAAAGACAAATCACAAGATGGTAAGAAACTCAATGAAGGAAATACGATGAACAATGGGGACAATAACAAGAAAAATAATAAATCAAGCACACGTACAAAAGCGAAAGAAACAACAAATTTAAAAGAATCAAAATTAAATTCTAAAAGCGATTTAGAGGAAATTCCAGTTTCTACCAATTTAGAAGTAAAAAGAATCAACAGAACCAGGCAAAAGCCATCTACTATTGACGATAACATCAATGCAAAAAACACCAATCCGAAAATACTTATAACAAAGGCAACCGAAGATAAAAAAAAGAAAGAATTGAAAACATCCAGTTCTCGAAGCAAAAACAAATTGCCAATTAAGGAAAATGAACTTAATAAAGATGCGGATAATGTTGGAGTTTCAGAAGTTATTGAAGGAAATAATAAAAAACAAAGTAACTCAAGGACGAAACCAAATATAAAAAAATTATCCGCTTCAAATTCAGTATCAAAACCAATATCCAATAATATAAATGAATTACAAGATGTTAATTCAGGTAATGCGGAAGCAGCTAGTATGACAGCTTCAACATCTACACTAAATTCAGACACAACAAAAACTAAAAGCAAAAGACCAAAAATTTCAAAACTTATAGTACAAACCGCCGGAAATGCTAAGTCAAATAAGCCAGACGAAAAACTAAAAGTACCAACTAAACGGGTTCTACGTCCACGTCAAAATTCGAATGAAGCTACAAATACTGCCGAACAAAAGAAAAAATTAGCCATACCACAACTTGATGGTGCACAAGATTTTGATTCTGATGAGGATAAACCGTTGAATCATCGTAAGAACAAAACTGCTCCAAAATTGCAAAAACTAAAATCGCGTAGTAAAGAAGAATCAGATGATGATTTCAAACCATCGCCTCCTAAAAAACCGAAAAAAGCACCAATTCTGCCAAAAGCAGTCCAGAATTTACGTAAGGATCGAAGAGTACTCTCTACAGATGAGGAATCATCTGACAAACCTAAAAGAAAACCCAACGCAGCAGATATGTGGTTGGAAGTGTGGTCCGATAAACAAGACCAATGGGTGTGCATAGATTTATTTAGGGGGGAAGTAGATGCGGTTAATTCAATACGGGTAAAGATAAATTTATAATATAGAGAACAATCTAAATGTGTTTATTTTTCCAATAGAAATCTGCTAGTCCTATTTTAGCATATGTATTTGCTTTCCAAAGTGATTTGAGCATAAAAGATGTTACAGCACGTTATTGCACAAATTGGGCGGCAACACTCCGCAAATTGCGTGTCGATAAATCTTGGCTTGAGATGGCGATTTCACCTTATTATGGTGTACGTACGGAACGTGACAAACGTGAAAATCAAGAATTACGACGTTTGCATGAAGAGAAGCCAATGCCTACAGCGATATCGGAGTTTAAAGATCACCCACTTTATGCGCTTCAACGGCATTTACTTAAATTTCAAGCAATATATCCACCTAATGCACCAACACTAGGTTTTGTACGTGGAGAACCAGTTTACTCACGATTCTGTGTGCACACTCTACATTCAAGAGAAATTTGGTTGAAAGATGCACGTACTGTAAAATTGGGTGAAGAACCTTATAAGATAGTTAAAGCACGTCCAAAATGGGATCGGGTCAGGACTTTAAAATACAACTTAGTCTGAAATGTTTGTAACTGATTTGATTTATTATTTTAGTTAACGCAAAGTGTTATAAAAGATCAACCACTTGAGATATTTGGTTATTGGCAAACAGAGGAATATGATCCACCAACTGCTGAGAATGGAATTGTGCCACGTAATGCCTATGGTAATGTGGAACTATTTAAGGAATGTATGTTACCTAAAAAAACTGCACACATACGTTGTAAGTATAATTTACAATAATTAATATTTTTTTATTTTAATTTGAATTATTTGAAGTGCCTGGTTTACAACGAATTTGCAAAAAGCTTGGCATTGATTGCGCTAATGCAGTTATTGGCTTTGATTTTCATCAAGGCGCTTGCCATCCCACATTTGACGGGTTTGTGATATGTGAAGAGTTTCGAGATCAAGTAACTGCAGCGTGGTATCAGGATCAGGAAGAACAAGATCGTAAAGAACAGGAAAAATACGAAGCACGAGTTTATGGCAATTGGAAAAAACTTATTCGCGGTCTTCTAATCCGCGAACGTCTTAAGAAGAAATATAATATGTAATTTAATTTCTTACTTTAAGAAATGTAATGAGCATAAGCACATCATTTAAATTTTATAAAGTCAAATTCTGTTTTTGTAGAATACATTTATTCATTTTGTTATTCATTTTATAATTAATAAATTTACTAATATTTTGTGTGAAGTATATTTATTTTAAAAGGAAAGATACAAGTTTGAAATATATTTTTAAACGTTGCTAGGTTAAAATTTTATGGTGCATTGACAACTATTACACAAAACTCGAAAATCCGCGATATTATCGCTGCTGTGAATGGTGACCTACACTGGATCGTCTTAATAGACGAGTGTTTCTCGGGCATAGTTTCGGTCATTTATAAAACTTATCACTACAACAACCATTATTATCATTATGTATTAATTATGACATGAAATAATTAATATATATTTAGGATATCTTTAGGTCAAATAAAAATCGTAGCAATATATATATATATAAGTTGTATGTACATTAAAAGTTAAGCTCTAACTTAACTAAGAGGAGTAAATCTTAGAAAATTACCTAATAAACAATTGCTGTATTTATATCTCCAGCTATTATAGGTATGGGTATGTAAATTTTGTTCTCTCGGGACAAATAACTTAAAATGAATTTGTAATACTAACTAAAACCCTAATGGTTAAAATGATAAGACTACATTATATTGTCTAAGTTCTTGAGCCGAGATAGCATTACCACATTAGTTTTATTGTTAAATACTTAATAATTTTTTTTTAAATTCGAAATAAAACATAACACACAAACTTATGTTTGCTGGACTCACTTTTTATTCAGTTCGAAAAAATTTTTAAGATAATGGTGTCTTTTGAGTTATGATTTATTCACAAGCATGCTTAGATTTGGCAAATCCCAAACAATATGTAAGAACAAAACGTTACACACTAACATGAGACCGTTAACAGATTGAACGGCTATAACTATTTCATCAGTGCTATCACCTTTAAAACAGTCAAACTTTATTTGATACCATAATTTGTTTGTTGCATGCCTTTTAAATAAATAAATAAAATAAATTATAATGTGTGATGTCTAACTACAGAAATTTTCTTCTAATTTTTATTACGTTTTGTTGTTTTATTTTGCTAGCACTTTTTCTAATTTCTTTTATTCTGCGGTTTTAGTGCAGTTAACTAGCAATTTATTTTTTTAACTGCATTCCATTGAAACGTAAACATTTTTACAAGTAAATAATATTTATTCTGTATTTTGTATAAAATAGAAATTAAATTTGTTTTGAAATATAATCAAAATTATTTATATTTATATAAAATAATAATTTATAGAATATAATATACGAAAAAATAATCTTTAATGTTTAATCATTAATTAGATAATATTCTGATTTAGAAACAAATTAAAATTATAATTATTTGCTTATACATATCTGTATGCAAACAAATATAACAATTACAATGTATGAGTACGTTTAAAATACAAAAATGAATCATCGTATGGTGTAATACAAGGATGATTTATTTTCCAAGGATTAAGCCCATAAGCGGCTTTCTTTTTCTAACGTTAAAAAAATTTAAGTACAAACCAAGCTGTTGATTAAATCAAATAATTTTGAATTAATAATAACACATAAATATAAATAAATATAACATAAATATTTCAAAAATAATGTATATTGAAATAAAAATAATCATATATAAATTCATATCAAAAATTCGTTTTTTAACTAAAAGACGGAAGCCTTTTGTTTATATTTTTACACTCCATTGGAATAGCTAATACTTTATTGAGTAAATTATATTTCAATTGAAACATTATAATAAATTAATTTTATGGAGTCATCGCAGAGGTTACAATAATAATAAAATTTAATATAGATTTAATTCCATTTCACTTATCCATTATTTGAAAATATTATATATATAATTCTTTAAGTTTATAGATTAGTGTTCAGGCATATATTTATATTTATAAATTATTTTATAAATTGTGAAGAGAAATTTTTGCAGTGACAAATTTAAATATATCTAAGTACGTTATATAGTATATGCTTGAGGCTTTTAAAAATAAGTTAGGCTAAAAATGTACATTGCTGTATATGTTTTTTTATTTATTTTTAAATGGAATGATTTTAGTTTAGAAAATTTTAAAGTTTAACATTTAGCAATATTAACAAAACTCTTAAAAATTAAATACTAATTCTTATTATACACAATATTTTTCGTTCATTTCTAATCAGACTTTATTAAATAAACTCTTTCTAACTTTAATATTATTATTACAAAAATATAACTGATATATAATAAAATAAAAAACAAATATAATCTCTGTTATCTAAAATCTATAAAGTAAAAGTTTGCTTCTCATCTTTGGTGTTTTTTGGAATAGGTGACAATTTCTTTAAGTAAACCCATAAATTCTCTTCTATTTCTATTAAGTACATAATTTTTAGTCATACTAACTTAGTAGTGAAATTAAGTTTATGATTTAGCTGCTGTGCTAGCATAGGTCGGTGTATTTCTGTTTATATCGTTTACTGCGCTATTAATAATGTTTGTGCCTTTACTTTGATTTAAAGCTTGTAAGCGCTGTTGTTGCAGCTTGTAAGTATTTTGTGTTTTTAGATAATCAATGTACATGCGTCTGGCTTGGTTGAGCACTCGTGTCACATTGTGTTTACGCACCATCTTGTCAAAATGCATAGCAATTTCATTGTAATCCATACCGCTCTTCATCACGGTGTTACGATGTTGCAGCAGTAAAGTAAGACAAAGAAACATTAGAAAAGGATTGCCACCGCCAAACTCTGTGGGGGGAGGCAATATGGGTGGTGTTGGTGGTCGACTACTTGTAGTGGGACTGTCATTACTCTCACCTATTTTTTGCGGAGATTTGATGAAGGCTATATCATCTGTAGCGTTAGTCGCCATTTCAACGGGCGCTGTATCTAAGATATCTGTAGAAATTGGCACAAGCACTTCTGGCAAGCTATTGCTGTTTGGTATGCTAGAATTACCTATTAAGGTGTCGGCTACTATTTCACTTTCATCAATAAATGGATTTAATTTAAGAGTCTCCAAAGTACTCGCTAATAACGCTCCAGCGGGTTCGTCCATTAGAATACTATTGTCTTTACTATTTAAACTATGATTGAATAACTTCGAATGCGACCACATTTCCCTAAAGTTCTCTTTACTATTTTCTTTTGTCAAATTTTGTAAAGGCTCAATACTGCTTCTAGACTTGGCATCACGATTTCTACGTCGTTTTAATAATTCGCTTATATCAGGGCATTTAATTATTTCATTTTCTTTTAAATCTTCAACCAAATCTAAAGAATCTTTATCTAATTTTTCATATTCAATGTCACAATTGGTATGCACATTGGTTGCTAATGGTTCTCCAAACACCTGACGATCTAAATTGTCAGCATCTAAACGTAATTCTCGTGTGATAGCAGTTGTCATCGGATAGTATTCTTGATCTTGATTATCATCAGGTGTGGAAACAATATCGTCATTGAAAGGAATACTAAAGATATTGTCAGTAGCTTTATCTACCTCTTCGACCAATGTTTGTTCTAAAACTGGTGTCTTGTCTGGTGTGTGCGCCCTAGTTGAAGAAAGTGAGTTTAACTCCAAATGCAAACTATTGCTGCTCAAATTATTTGTTTGTTGAATTGCGGTCGCGGCAGTTGAGCCACTCCATGTTGTTTCAGGCACAGAAGATGAATCAGAATCATCTAATGATTTGACGAAGGCATTCTTTGTTAACTGCACTAAAGCGTGTTGTTGTATTGTTCCTGTTGTACTCTGCATACGAGTGGGTGACGGCGATTTAGATTTATCCTTGTCTGGTGCTGTATTAATAGAGGAGTTGCTATTTGTTAATGTAAATTTATCCGCAATGCGATTTTTATTTGCTGAAGCAAAGTTAAGAAATTCATTAAAATTTTTGACTAGTTTCTGTTGCGATTTTTCATTAACAGTATTTGTTTCCTCAGTCGCAAGTCCTAAAACAAAACGAAAGTTTATAAAGTTTACTTATTAGGTGGTGATATGATGTTGTTGTAGCGCATTTTAAACTAGTAAACAAGTTGTATATAAAATCATAAAGTTTGCGCAATAGAATGGGATGGAAGATAAGAAACATAATGTAGGAAAGGAGAAATGAAGGGGTGGTGATCATAAAACTTGCACAATAGGATAGTATGGGAAGAAAAATGGGAGACATAAGCTGCAAGTGTAGAAATGGATGCAATGTTAACCTTAGTCCAGACGAAAGCAACTACCAGGAATAAGTTTAAAGAGATTTATTCAATGTCTTATTTAATGTATGATATATAGAAAGGGACTAAACTATGCAACCTGTGGGGGGGAGCTTTACTAATGTTCTCAATTTGTTTGCTTTTTCTACTCACCTCTTCTACTTGTAGCTGCAATTTTATCCTTCAAATCTTTAAAATGTCCACCACTGTTAGTACTCACGCGCTTCATACTCTCACCGACACTTGTCGCATTCGCAATCTGTTTTGCAATTATATTGCTTACAACATTGTAATTGGAAAGCACATTTTTATTTTGTAACTTTGCTATGCCTTTTGGAATTTCAGCTGAGTTACTTGTCGGTTTACTACTGTCTTCGCTCGTATCGTCTTCTGTCGGTGACGATGAAGAACTATTTAAAAATAATTTTGATATAATTGCTTGTTTATTGTCAGCTAATGTAATTTGGTCTAAGTGCTGGTCATTTGGTGTTTCATTATTATTTGTCTGTACAGCACATTGTGCGTCTTCTATAAAAGGATTTGTTGGATGAAAAATAAAATGATCAGATTCCTTATTGCTTGAGTTGGTTAAAAATACATCGTCTTCTATATCTGCTCCAGTAATATTTGCAGTGTTTGTGTCACTTATTCCAGATTCAATTTCCGTTTCTGTTTTGGTTTCATTTTCACCTTCTAAAAGCATCAACATTTTTGATTCATCAAGACTTTGATGGGCTTTAGCAGAAATATGTCGTTGTCGACGTGTAGCACGACGTGGTATATTATCGTCAAGACTTTGATTTAGATGTTTTGATGAATTAAGCGAACACGTGTTGTTACCCAATGACGAACTTAATGAGCTCAACGAAGCGGAAGAGCTTTGGCGTCTTAGAGCACACACCTTTGTATAGGGATTTTCACGCTGTTTTACTAACATATACGAAGGGCTAATTGGGGGACCACCAGAGCTAGAATATGAACTAGATGTGTTAGGTGTTGAACTTTCCAAAATAGGCACAAATTCCTACAAATCAATCAATGTATTATTAAACAATTATTTTTGAATTTGTTTACCTTTTCATATAGATACAATTCCCTGTCCGGTCGTGCATCATGTTTAAGAGAACTCCATTGAACTTCTAACATTCTTAAGGCATCTTCAAATGGAAATTCCCGTTTCAATTCAAGCAATAACCAACGATAACAAAACAATAAGTCATCTGCCTGCTGGGATTTCAAGTAATCCCAAAATTCTGGATCATAAAAACTAAGTGCTTCAGTTAAGTGTGCAAACTTCTTTGTCATTGCTTCACCATCTAACATAAAGTTTCCACGTACTCGCGCCATTATGGCACAAAAACATACATATGCTTGAGCTTCGTCGTTCATGGTTACAAGTAATGGTGATGCAATATCCGACATGCCTTGACAGTAACTAACCGATGGATGATTAAGTGCATAAGTTGTTAGTATATTAAAAAGTGATGCTATATTTTGATTGTCGTCACTGCCTGCATAAAAAGGATGTAATCGATCGGTACGAAGTACATCTTTTTTAACCATACTGGTAACATATGATAGCTCCCCTACAACACAGCCTAATCAAAAGCAATTATATTAAAACTGATATGATATATTTTATTTTTAATTACCTTGTTTGATAGCAGCTTTCCATGTATCTCGCAATTTATAATAATTTTCCGATTTTCTACGCATATAATCCATACGCTGGTGCCCATTCATACCACTTGGATAAACATTTAAAATATGTTTCCAAACAACACGCCTTAAACTAGGATCGATACCACCGAAAAAAATCACTTTACGCAATTCATCACTGCGTTGTATTTGACCGACTGCATCCAAAAATAAACGGAATTCATTATCAGAAAGAGGAATGCGTGGAGGTAACGTAGCCATTGTTTCTTCCGATAAGTTAAACGCTTTCTGCACTATTGAAAATGTCTTTTCCATATGATTCATTATCAAGCCAGGCAATCGTGTTTGCATATGTTGCATATATTTTTGTGAAGCCCCAAAAGATTGCTGCAATGGTGACATAATTTCACGAGTGCCACTCGATGGCATAGCTTGTTGCGCCAACATATTTGCACTTTTACTATTACTTACTCCATGCAATATTGTGCTTGTGCCAGTTGAATCAGTATCCCAGTCCTTCACTTCAGTAAATGGCTTTACGTCTATCTGCAGCATAAGACAAGGCTCAGTTGCTGTTTGTATGGATATGTTATGTATACGCAAGAAAGCAGCATCGAGATCCCAGTCTGACAATACAGATAAATAGGTTTCATTGCCTGCTGGATCATAAGCCTTATATTTAATAGAAAAATCTGATTTAATATCGAATGCCTTCGCCAATAAGGAGTACAGGACTTCAAGAGAGGTGATTTGTGGGTCAACACTAAATTTACGCCATTCTGGCGGTATGTTTTGTTCACATTTCTGAAAGAAAAGTTTTACAATTGCTAAATTTCAAGGGAATTGTTTTATATACCTTCACTTTTACTCGCACCGCCTCCCTTGCATGAATATTGTTGGACATAAAGTTGAAGTATTTTTAAACTTTTATAGTTACTAGTAATAACTTGTTTTTGTTAGAGACCAATTCGTTCTCATATGTTAGTCACATTCAATAACTTCAATATTGCATTGCGTTCATATTACATATTTCGTTTACTTTTGCTAAAATGTAGCAAATATGAAAAATGCTTGCTAATAGCAGCAGCCAAACAGATGAAATGAATGACATTGAAAGAGTGTTGTTAACTTCGCAAAATAAAAAATCCCTTTATGCCTACCGTAGCATTCACAAATCATATGATTAATCAGATTAAAATATATGTGAAATTCAATATATATTTTTAATAGAAAACAATTTTTAAAATTGTTACAGTCAAACTTATTGTAGCACTTTCTCTATTTACATATTTTCACGATAAATCCGCTAATTGTGAAACAATTAGTTATATATATTACATAAAAAATTAAAAATAATTGTATCAAATCGGCACAATTATTTATCAATTAACTTTAATTCCGACAATGTAACCTAGAAATAAGCCAATATATCATTTACGATATGTTAAAATATAATGTTAAAAAATTTGAAATTTTATTGCAATAAAATTATAAGGCGAAACATAACGACTAGAATGCACTTCCTATGGTGCAACAATTTAATTTCGTAGCTTTATACAATTCAATATTTCGACCAACTAATTCCACCATGTTATATGTCTACTATGCTATTTATTGATTTTCGCGTTACTGGGCTTTACAATGTGTTTACACTTATACAATTCACTCGACATATATGTATATATAATAATAAATGTATATAAACGTCTCACAAAAATGTTTTAGTAAGTTTCAATAACATAAATGCAGTTAAATTGTAAGTGTTTACATTAACTTCGTAAAATCGCTGACTAGTTGCATAGCAAATTTATTAGGCAATTTGTAGCTCAATTTAGAATCCGTTCACAGAACAATACCGGTTATTGTATAAAATAAATAAATAAAGTGAGTTTGGTTTTTGAGAAATTACTACAATATCTTAACTCATATTATGAAAAAATATATATAAGACATTAACTTGATACTGGTATTGTTTACAGATGATGATGAACAGATGAATCATTTTCAATATATTTAAAGTTTTCTAATTAAAAAATTGCATGTATAAACTATTTTTTTACAATCTGTAAATCCGTTAATACTGAAAAAAACACTAGCCCTTCCTTTCATATGATATTCTTCGTGTCTTAATGAAGTCATTTCTTGCATTTTTTGTACAGGAGTGTGAAGTTGACTTGTATAAATATATATTTTTTTTGAATTAAAATAAACATATATGTTCTTGTATTCAATTAAATTTTATTATATTTATATTATGCAATTAATTATATGCAATATATATTTTATATTATAATATGAAATTTATTAAAAGTAACTGAAATTTAATTATAGACTTACGACGGACAAGACCTTCGATAGCTCAGTTGGTAGAGCGGTGGACTGTAGAGTGCGAAACAAAACATAGATATCCATAGGTCGCTGGTTCAAATCCGGCTCGAAGGAGTGTAATTTTTTTTTATTTTTATATGAATATATGCTACAAATAAATTAAACAAATAAAATTACTTAACAGCCTAATTAATAAGGTTTTATTTTTGTTATTATTTTATCTTGTATTATTTTAATACAATAATAAAAATTATATTTGATTATATTTTCTTTACAAATAGGTTAGATACGTTCATTATTACCACATATCGTCGTCCACTTCTCATATCGATATGTTACAACCGGTCGTATTAGTTTTTCATATATTTTCACTTTTCTTTCATTTCATTACATTACAGTTTCGAATATCCATATAAACAAATAGCGCGATTACAATTTCTCTGGTATTTCTAGTTGACAACGAATTACAGTAGTTATTTTGAGTGATTTTTTCCACTATGCTATATGCCAATATATAGTACCTTATATCTAGATATATCGAGCTTTAAAGTTATTAACTATTTACAATTATTATACTTAATGGAGTGACCATTTGGCAGATGTTATAGTTGTTGGTGGTTTCCATTAAGCGATATTGACATATAGTTACTAAAATTTATTGCTAATGCATTTCCCTGAGAAATCGGAATTGTGTAAAAATTAAATCTTATCTAATATTTTTATTTTCGGCCTTTATTCGAGCAGTTGTCTTTTCATCTAGTTTCGTCTATGCAAAATAGTTTTTATTTGAAGCATAAAGATAGTAGAGATCTGTATAATGCTATCAACTTAGAGGTCTGTATAATGTACGTATTACTTTAATTTTTTGAGTGATGACAATAAGTACTGGCGGACAAGGACCCAGTTATGGTCATAACTTCAACGATTTAAGTTACTTAGAGTCCTAGATAAATTTTGTCTAGGTTAATTACAAATTCGTACGATCCTTAATCACAGACCTCTTGCCTAATGATGTTAAAGACAAGCAATATTCTATAAATTATATTAATTTTTTAGATAGTGGCAAAAAGTTATGGTGGGCGCCAATTATACGGTTTTCCGGTTTAACTAAGTTAGAATTCTAGATATTTGGTTTTGTTTATATATATATATGATATGCTAAACTTGTCTTATAAATTATAAGCACCGATTACCAAAATGAGATAATTTACTGTTTTTATCCTGGTTTATTTTTACACAAAATGTAAAACTTTTTTTTCAGACGGTTTAGGCGGCTTCTTTTAGTGCAATCTCTCGTAACTCTTACCCTTTTTTATATTATTGAAAAAAATTATTTATTTATATAGAAATAAAGCAAAACTTTAATTTTTTAATTACTTATTTATTAAAATAATGTTAACAATATATTTAATTAAGCATTTTAAAATTAACAATCGCTCTTACACTACTTCTACAATATGGTAAATTGATATTATAGTCATAACTGAATAATATATTTTTTTTATTAAAATAATGTTTTAAAAACAATGACTAATATTTTATAACATAATATTAGATTTTATATTTTACATAAGAAAAAAGTTAATATACTTTTAAAAAATTTTATAATAAATTTTTGAACTAGAGAAAAAGTTTATTGAATATTGAAACTAATCCAAACCAATAATTTGAGATAGCAAAAAATTAATGAAAAGGCGAAGTACCGATTAAATCAGTATAGAATTGGAATAGAGAAAAAAGAAATATATAATTTTAATATTAAAAATATATTTTATTATAATTTTTTTATTGGTAACTTTTACGAATCTATGGTACTCATATCACAGAAAACTTAGGTAAGTTATCTGTGCTCATATATTCTTTAATAAAAAAACTCCTCTATTTAGAATAAGTTTAAGAGTACAGAACTGATTCAAATTATATTGAAATTGTTTAAATTTAAAAAATGAAAAAAAAGTTTAACCAGCTATTTATATACAAAAGTACTCTTTACGTAAGTACAGGCTCACAGTACTACATAAGTTCTTATTTTTTTAATTTTGATATATTTTCGATCGTACATGGATCTGTTTTTCAACATAAATAATATTTTTCTATTTTATATTTAAACCCTAAAATAGTTAAAATTATTTTAATATGAATATATTATATAAAACTGATCCTACAATTGGAATAAAAATATTTTTATCCTATATTTTGTGAGTACGATACCATTATTGTTTTTCTTACTCTCAAATGCTTTGATTTGTAGTGTTAATTTAAATTTAAAAATACTAATTGACTTGAGGCACTATATACCATATATACCATGTATAAATACATATATTTATATTAATCCTTTTTATATGTTTATATATAAAGAATATATATAAAGAATGTCTCGCATTAAATAGGCATAAATGTAAGAGGTGGCTTACTGGTTCAATAAATAAAAAACATTTATTCGATGGGTGATCTTCTTAATATTAACCGATATATAGAGTCTCAAAAAAAAGTTTACCAGAAAAATAATTGCTATAAAAATATCAATATATCAACAGTAAGCTACCTAAACTCAAGAAATATTTTAAAAATAATATAGTACTAATATGCAAAAAATGAACAAAAAAAATTATACAAATATTTTTAATATACTTTATATGAATAATGGATAAAATAAAGTTAATATTTGATTTAGAGCCTTGTCTTGGTTAGTGTTTAACTAATCGAAAATGAAAAAACTATTTTGTAACATTAAAAATATTTATATAATTTTCTTTTAAATTTTAAGCATAACGGCATCATTATTCGACAATTATTTTATTCTTTTCATTTCTTTCCGTTGTTCGTGCCATAAGTTAGGTTTGAGACTTTGTTAGTATTACTAGATATATGATCCAGTTTGAGCATTGACTGTTTGCCTGAATCAAGGTGTTCATTTCGGAAGTGATATCATTTTTTGTTATATTATATATCTAAGCTGAGGGAACTACTTCAACACAACAACTAAGCCATCATGGGTAAATGTTAAGAATCGATATTATATTGGCTTATCCAGCTTTTGTAGTGGTTAGACTTTGGCTAGATTTCTGCATGCACTCTCATTTTTCCACTAAACATACAATTTTTTATTTGCATAAAAAATTCCAAAACAAAATGTATTTTAATAAAGTCTAGCCAGTGTCGATGCTGTTAGTATGTTATGCTAAAGTTTTTTCGTTTAGTGGACAAGGAAATCACTTCCTACGCTTATACCATTTTAATCTTGGGTACCTTATATATCTAAGAATATGTATAAATATATAATGTGTTTTATATTTTAATTATTATTAATTTCAAAACATACTTTAGCATTTTCGCAATCGACTAAAACAACTTAACAAAACAAATTTATATTATTTTTTTTTGAAATTTAAAAATAAATTGGCTTATAAACTTCTTATATTAATAATAATATTATATACAATTTAATTAAAAAAAAATATATAAAATCTAAGCTGTTAAAAAATAATTGCTTTTAATAACAGATTTACAGATTTACTAGATTTTTAACATTAATTTTAAAATTAATTTTTAACATTTTTATATAAAAATTATTATTTATTTTTATATATGTATATATACTTACTCATGTTATATACACTATTCTGATTTTATGTTTGCATATAAAATGACTAAAAATCTTTGTTTATAGCTATAAATTATACTATATAAATATATAGACAATTATTAAATAATTATTGAATTGAACATAAAATATAAAAGTTGAAAAATTTGCAGCAACAATTGTAAATAATTTTCTATTTGGTGGTGATGAGGTGAAGTCTATTAAATATTAATAAATTAATGAAACTAACTTTGTGCAGTGTAGAGAGATAAATTGTACATTGGTAAAGCTATTTTATAACACTTTTGTGATATGCGGGAGGTCTTTTTGGTTATTTTCTTGCCAAACGTCTTATGCACCATTTTTCATTTTCCATTTTCCGTTTTCCGTATTTTACTGTTTATGAACTATTAATAATATTAAATAATTATTAAGTTACGTAGAGAAAGCTTGGCAATATGCATACAATCAACATATATGCAGTAGTGCTGCAAATATTTTTTATACTTATTTTAAGTATAAATTTATATCTAATATTAATATTATTTTGTATCTTATTTATATTTGTGGCGACGTAAGTCTTTTAAATTATCATTGCATCAATTTGTCAATATGGGCGGCTAACAATGGAGTCTACCACATAATTTTTTTCTTCTTGAGTTTGACTTTTTAATGCTTTGGATCCTTATTGTAGTCCACATAAACGCGTACAACTTCACCGGAATATTTACGTTGGGATGGCATAAAGTAGAAATCAGGCGTATCAGCGCCACCAGTCATGCGTGGATCCTCCCTGGAATTATCGCGATAATGTCTGCGTTCATCGTTGGCTGATGTTTGACGTGGCGTGCGACGATCGTGTGTGTAATATCCTGATGGTTGCATGCTGCTTTCCTGCTGCTGTGAGCGCTGATGTTGCTGACGTGGTAAGGAGTAAGCACGTTCACCGTATGAATTGCGACTGTAGTGCGCTGGGTCGTTTGATCCATTACGTTCGTAATGTCCATTCGAGTGGCTATTGCTGCTGCCATTGCGCTGTTGGGTGCGTCCACCATTTTCATAGTTATTTCTGGTTCGATTTTGATTGTTGTTACTAGTGCCATTGCCATTCATACCCTCGTAATAGAGTTGCGATTTACTTGTTGGCGAATGTGACATAGGCAACGTTGTTTGTTGGCTACTGCTCGTCGAAGATCGATTACGAGATTTCTCTTTACCAGAAGCTGTTGTTGTTGTTGTCATAGTTTTCTCTTCCGTTTCACCATAGGGATTAAAAGCATAATTTGTATTTGAGGCAAATTCTTTCCAAGGCGAATTCTGTATAAGCGTGTCCTGTAAAAGAATTGTAAACAGAATTTATAATTATTAATTGACATATAAGAAACCTCAACCAGTCAGCATTTTTCCATAAGCAAAAAAATATATATGGCACAAAATTTTAATTTATAATTTTATATAATTTTTTAAGCTGAAATGTGCTTTAATCTTTAATATTTTTGAGGAAAAAAAAAACATTTTTACAGAATGTGCATTGATTTTAATATGAACAGTTAAATAAGGGATGGGATATTAGGAGCAAAGGGTATGTACATATTTATGGCAGGTATTATTGTGTGTGTATGTACGTGAGTAAATTGAATACCAGTCAAACAGTTTTTTTGCTATTTTTTTTATAAAAATTGTTATTTATTTTTATTGTAGAACGGTTTATAATAAAATTTAGTTTATATTTAATGATATTAACTTTTTATTAAACATTTTTTTAATATTAAATTACCTAGTTTATAAGAATTTATCGTTATATTTATAACATCTATATACGATGGATTAGGTCGATCGATAAACAGACTAAATAAGGCCATCATAAGAGATTCAGCGTCCAGTAAAAAACACGTTTTAAAATTTTAACCATCATTTTTTGTATAAATAAGGACTTAAACCGCATAGCACATATCTTAATTCAATTATATACCAAAGAAAAAATTATGGTAAAATACAGTTTAAATTTTTTAGTAATCACACATGTTCAATTCTTGAGACAACATGTGTATGGGTCATTCAAGTTCCTACTATTTATAGAGCCAGAGATAGAACCATTTGAAAATGTTTCTACATTGCCAATTCTTAAAATCCCATGGGTCCATATCTCCTAGGAAAAAAATACAAACTTTTTTCCCAGATACGGGTCTTCTTATTTTATAAAAAGAGCTCATAAAAATTCTGGAATTTCTAGATGACTTCTTAAACCCAATCATTCATGCTTGTATAGTAAGCATATAAATTTTGGATAACATATAATTAGAATAATTAGAATGGCTTAAATGTAATAAAGGAGACGGTTGTAATAGAAAAATAATAATAAAAATACTCGTATTAAAAACTGTATGGAAATATGAAGTTTTTTTTTTATAAATTCAGACTCATATACGGTTCTATGACAGGAAATGGATCATATTATAAAGATTATCAGAGCTTCAAATTATGGGTATTATGGTAAATTTAAATCACCTCAATAAAATGAATTATCAATTTAATAATTATATTATTAAATTAAAACATATATATTATTTTCACAACTTTAACTTATATATCCTATACACGGGGCCTTACACTTTGTTCCCAGAATACTTAAGTTAGGTACTCCAAAGCTTAGAATATTACGAAGAAATAATGCAGTTCGCGAGTAAAATGTTCGCTTGGTGAATACTAAGATTTACGCGTAGACACATAATATAGTATTATAATAAGCTTTTCTGTGTAATATCTAAAAGTATTTATTATTATATGTATAATTTTGCAATGTTATTAAAAGTTGTTATCTAAAAAGTGCAATTGAAAAAGAATTTACTTACTATTTTATAATATTCCTTTTATATATATTTACAATATTAGTGTAGAAAAAAATGATGGTGCGTTAGAAACAAAACAATTTATTTTATAGAGAAATGTAATAATTAACAAAGAAAATAAAAAAACAAGAATTTTAAATAAAATAATCAAAAATAATGCTGACTGGTTTCAAAATTTGAGAACAGAACATTTAAAGTTAATTAGAAAAAGGAAATGTTAGATAAAGAGTTTACGAAACACAAAAAACTTAAATAAAAATGATAATAAATAAAATAAAAATATCGCATTAACAAACAAAAAATGTTAAGAAAATAAATAATTTATTTTTATATTTTTACTAGATTTATATATTAATATTACACTCATATTACACATATTCTTCAAACCTTACTAATTAACTAAGTAGTTGCTTAACAAGAGCTGGTCTAATCCTTTAAAGCGGGTGTATAACAATACGTACACCAATTTAAGCCGGATTCCAATTTGTTAAGTGGCAAAGTTTCTCTAACTAGATCAGGTTAGTTTCAATCAAATTTTCGATTTCTTCCTGATTTCGTCACCGACTTGGGTCTGTGATTTAAATCTTGTGTAAGTATACATATGCATTTAATATTTGCCGGAGACATTTCTAATAATATAGATAATTGCTATAATTGATATTATCAGAAAAAATAGATTACTATGCTTTTAAACTTAAACAATTAATATTTTGAAACTATTTAAGTGTTTAGTGTTTGTAAAGGAAAAACTAATCGTTACGGTCAACAATCCGGAAGATTGGAAACTTGCGTAAATGGCCTAACTTGTTCAATTCTTATACAGGTTACATTATCAGAATATATATTGTGTTAAGAAAACTACAGTTGTGCGAGACAAAAGTATAAAAATAATTTGCTAAATAGCTCTGCAAATGCATAGTACACCAGCCATAAGAAAGAACTGACGTATTATTTTATAATGCCTACACCCACAGTTCCTATGTAAATCGTTTAAATTCATTTTTAAGAAATTTTTACTGTGTTTATTTTACATTAATCAATTTACTGTAGACTTTCTTTCCAGATATATCTGGTGTTGTGGAGTCCCTCAATATAAGAATTATGCTAGTAGCTAAATTTTGGATTCTGCGGTAAACAATAGAATTTCTTTACGAAACTGGATATATACTAAAATGACAGGCTTCCTGATCACAATCGCATCGTTCAAGTGGCTGCCATTAGAGAAACTATAGTATATCTTAAAGTGGGTTATATGTTAAATAGAAACACATATTTATAATATCACATAATCAAGTTGCTTAAACTCCTTGACTTCAGTCTAAATTACATCTAGCATGATTTATGTATATGAAGCAGCTCTAAACAATATGTCGACATAGTTCATTATTTCAACATACGAGTATCTTATAGGTAAAGAAATAATACTAGAAGAAAAATATTTCCTTAATTGATTTTTGCTGCATACATGATGATATAAAAGTGAGGTTGAAAAAGTTTTTAACTCAATATTTTAACAATTTTATTAGATTTACTTTAAATTAAAAAAAATATTAAGTTGATATATCATTGATATGGATTGAACTTGAAATTAATATAGTATGTGTTTAGAATATATATAATTTATGTCGTCTATTTGATTTCTGAATTTGTGAGACTTATAAAAAATATATATATATTTTATAAATAACTATTATAACATATAAACTTAAAGAAGCTAATAAATAAATTTACTCATTAAAAAATATAGAATTTATATTTAAATATCTAAAAATTGAAAACAATGAAAAATATGAATATAATCATTCAGGTCCATTATATTAAATCAAAGCTAATGAAATTACTATTAAATACCAGTTAAGACTTTTTTATATAAAAAATAAATTAAATTAAAAAAATATAGAGTAGACACAGCAATAGATGTGAGAAAGTTAAGAGTAAAAAAAGGTGTAGAAATGAATTTTTTAATTACCAATGCAATTTTTTGGGACTTGCAACTATATCATTTAAATTTTTTATTATAAACATTTATTTTATAATATATAAGTATATTATATTTACACACGTTTGATGTTACGTTCAAAAATTAAAATTTATGCATTAAATTAAATTTTACTGACTTTTTAATATATGGTATTTCGGCTTTATTATACTTTTCTAATTTATTTGTTAATTCATATTAATTATTTTCATATATTATTGATATATTTTGGTAGTGTTTATATTTGATTTAAATTTTTTTAATTATAAGTCACTAGATGGTTGATAGTAACGTTGATGTTGGCGCTGTTGGTAAATTCTCCATTCATCCGGTATTACATAAACAAGCTTCAAAAATAATTGCATATATTTTACGATAAATAAGAATATATAGAATATAATAATAATAAATGTATAATATTTATTTACTATTGTTTTAATTTCATACAAACCTTTTGAGTTTTACTTTTACGCGTAGTAGAATACACTGTGCATATAATTTGTATCAATGCAACGAAAATCAATGCAGCTAAGATACCCAGGACAATATATAATCGAGTACCAGCCAGCGCTAAGAATGATGTGTCTTTTTCATCATCATTTTCTGCAGATTTGACTGTAATAAAATTAATTTTATCTTTCACTTATCCTATTAGAATCAAACTGTTGCACTCACATTGTAATGCTTCAAAATCTAAAAATTGTGGATCTACAGTTAAGGATCCAACACGGCCTGATGCAACCTTCTCTAACAAAGCGCTTTTTATGATTTCACCCCTCTTCAAGTTTGACTCACTGTCATTATCTGGTATAGCGTTAGTGTCAATAGCTTGCCCTTTTTCATAAGCTGCTTTATCAAACATAGTGTGTAATTTAGCTACCATTGAAGTCCCCTCTCTATAAATAGTATATTCAATATATATATAGTATTAAAGTTATGTTTGTATGTTTTGTTCCTACTTTTCGAAACCTAAAATTTCAGTTTTATAATAGCCTGGTATGTTATTCAATATGCCGTTGAAGGAATCTGAAATAGTTGCAGCCAAATTATTAAATTCTACTGTGCCGGGTTTTGGTGCCTCAAAAGATTCTGCCAAGTTCATTAATTTAACTCCAACAGAATAGACTAAACGGTCAGGTGCTGGAGTTGTTGGTGCATTATAAAGGTTTTCCAATTCTGGATGAGAAATATTTTTTTTCGTTTATGTTTGTTGTGGTCGGTTTAAAGAATCATGATTACTTACCTTTACCACATGATTTTAAGCATACACGTTTCGATGACACTGCTGGTATTTGTTCATGTTTACGTATCTTTTTGTTAACTGGATTGAATTCACCTCCCAAAACAGGGAAAAATAAATACAAACAATGATCCTCAGTGAAAGATAAATCCTAAATAAAATTAATAGTTTAATTTTTTCCCAAACTCCTTTACAAACTTCACTCTGTATATATATATATTACCTGTTCATCGTTACTAATGCGTTTTCTGTTAAATTCTAAAATTGTAACACCCTTCTCTATACGGCCGGAAGCATTATAAATGTCTTGTCGATCATCTAATTTAGGCGCTGAATAACCATTAATCCAAGTGTCCATTAAAAATGGACGCCCATTTCTATCTACCCAACCGATTATAGCGTCGGTTTGTGACATTTTCTCATCATTACTAAAAGCAATACCAGTCCATTTTTGGGTATTGCTTGTTTCGACATGCCAACGCATTTCATCACCTCGACCCACAGTTGCCCAGGAAGCATAGTATTCACAAGTGTGATTTTCAGGTAAACAGTTTGATGGATATTTCCAGTGACCAAAGCAATTGTTTTCCAAAGTATTAGTAGTGGTGTCTTTGATATTGCTGCTCTCATTATTGATGGGCTTTTCCTTTTCTGTAGTATAAAATTCAGTATAAAAAAGCTGTTGAAACACATCTACACATTCTTACCTAAGAAATTTATAACTGTTGCACCGCGCTGCATATTGTGGCCATGATATTTTAATTCATCTGGTTGATAAAATTCTTGAACCGAAGCGGCTTCTGTTTCAATACCAGATGGTGGAATATGTACGTATTTATTGGGTTCTTGGCCTCGGGCCCAAATTAGATGTGTTAACGCATCTTCAATGGCATGATCTGTAGGCTCTGTTGCAGCTAATTTTTTACGGAAAATGATGGTTGTTACACCATTTTCCTCGAAGCCAGTACCTAATGATAGATCAGATTTTCCGCCATAAAATTCATCAATTCGTGGTGTGGAACGGTCTCGTGTATAATAATCACCAACACGACTTGCTTTTCCACGTGCGGAGCCAATGACGATATCTGTGCAATCCATAGGATTGAAGTCATGTCGTGGAGTGTATGGATTAAGTTTTAAATTGACTTCATCTATGATAAAAAAATAAGTGATAACATATTAGTAATTCAAAATTAATTAATTATTTATTTATATTTGGTGTACGGAATAGTAAAAAAGAAAAATTGTTAACTATTAGTTATAATTGTTGCTCGTGTTGTATAATTTGTTACCTGAAGTTTGTGGTGTTAAGGTTTTCTTTACAACTAATTCGGCATCTGATTTAGGCTCAGGCTCGGATTTCGGTTCAGGTTCAGAACTGGGTTCCGGTTCCGATTTTGGTTCTGGTTCTGATTTCGGTTCCGGCTCTGAACTTGGTTCTGGTTCTGATTTTGGTTCTGGTTCTGATTTCGGTTCCGGCTCTGAACTTGGTTCCGGTTCCGAGCTTGGTTCAGGTTCTGATTTTGGTTCAGGTTCAGATTTTGGTTCAGGTTCTGATTTTGGTTCAGGTTCAGGTTCTGATTTTGGTTCAGGTTCAGGTTCTGATTTTGGTTCAGGTTCCGATTTTGGTTCCGGCTCTGTCTTTGGTTCTGAACTTACTGGTGCTGATTTTACTTCTGGTTCAGATTTTGGTTCTGGTTGAGGCTCTGCGGTTGTGTGCTCTGATGTTGGTTCTGCCTGTGGCTCTGTACTTACTGGTTCTGATGTAGGTTCTGGTTCTGATTTTGGTTCAGGTGTAGTTGTGGGTACTATAATACAATATTAGTAGCAATAATTAAGTGAAAATGTGTAGGAAAGAAACTTGGACGTGTAGTGCATATAAGTTAGTTAAACACTGTTTAGACACTTCCCTGAATTGAATGTTTATTAAATGTTAACTACATGTTTGTTCAGTGCAGTGTGCTACCCTCTTACATGCCGTTATATTAACTACGTATAATTACCTTCTATTTGACGACGGCGGCGTCCAGCTTTTGTGCTAACACGATATGATACGCTGGTTGCAATAGAACTAACGCCATCCATATTTGGTGTCACATTTTCCACATGATTTTCCGCTAAACGTTTAGTTTTCTCTGACTTAGGTTCCGCTTGCGGCTCTGCGCTGCTTGGTTCTGATGTGGGTTCAGGTTCTGCTTTCGGCTCTGATGTTGGTTCCGGCTCGGATTTAGGTTCTGGTTGAGGTTCAGCACTGGGTGGCTCTGATTTTGGCTCTGGTTCTGATTTCGGTTCTGAGGAAGGTTCTGGTTCATATTTTGGTTCTGGCTCTGAGGTTGGTTCAGGTTCAGACTTAGGTTCAATCTCACTTAATTTTAAATCTGCTTTTAAATTATCACCAATAAGTGGAAAGTTTTTACATGCTTTGGTCAATGAATTTGGACGCCAACCTAAGCCAACCCATGATGTACCGTTCACTTTTAATACCATTTCAATTTCTTTTTGCTCTTCTAATACACGCCAAAACAAATGATAATCGGGTGAAAGTACTTTCTTTTTATATGCAGAGAAATCTAGTTCTGTAGTCTTATATGGAGAACGTTTGTTACAACCTATACCATACCAACCAAGGTTACAATAGCATTGTCGTCGTGGCAATGATGTGCTCTGTAAATCTATGCACTTTCCTTGAAGACCACAGTCTTGATTCGTAGTACATTCATCTTTGTATTGGCACTGTGGACCATAATAATTTTTTTCACATTTACAACGTGTTGGATAATGTTTGCCATTTCCAGAACAGTTTTCTCTAAACTCTTTTCGATTTTTGATGTCGACATCAGCGCAAGACCAAAAGCGATAGTTACCGCCCCATTCATCGGCCTGACGTAGTAAACGTAATGTGCAATTGTGGCACTCGAATTCGTTAGGTATGCTTACTTCGTACGATTGTGCCCTGAGAATCAAATATGCAAAATTTAGCGTAGGAAGAAATTTTCTTACTATAAAATAAGTTAGATATACTGTTGGATATAAGATCGATGAAATCTTAAGAAATATTTTTTTGAATATGATAGAGTTGTTAAGTAGACAAATCAAGTACTCTTAAAACTTAGAAAACTTTTTTTTATTATAATTATAATTTTATTTTTAATTAATTAAATGCTTCATGACGAGTTGTTAATATAGCTTTAGATTTGAATATATTTTAATATATACATTTCTAAAGCTCAGTTACATTGTATGTACTATTATTCTTAAAATACTTACGTTACATCAGTACGCAAAAATTCGGAACCTTGTATATGTGGTGTCAAATCCAATACAGGTCGATCTAAGGCATCGAGCAGTTGAAGACGAAAACCTCCCTGGAAAATAAAAAAAAATTGTTTATTTTTACTTTGCTTAGGGCGAAGGACCTATTAGTCCAGTTTCTTAATCTTAGTTAACTTTAAAATTAATGTTAATTAATTTTATATTTAATTAATAAATACAAATAGTGAAGTTCTCTAATTATTATATTTTACTTTAAAATATATTCCGACTAATTTTCTTGGTTTTTTAAGATCGCCTTTAAGTAGGTTAAAGCTATTAAAGCAATTAATTGGTTCATGGGCATACAATATAACTAATCTGTAATGAGTTAAAATCATGTTCAGTGATGTACACGTAACGAAATCATACAATGCAGATTATACACCACAAACAGATTTATTATAGAATATTCCCACTATTAACACTATTAACTGCAAGCCGTTATTCTAGCAATCGTTCTTCATCTATTCGTATTAACATATTCAGGTTTATCTGTGTATCTCTAAAAAATATCTAATAATAATAAATTGCAGCGCATTTTTCGCACTGCCATACTTGGGAAAGCGCAGAGAACAATGATTTTGTCGTGCCATTTTGTCATTATTTTAATTTGCTCTCTGCTTTTTTGTTGATTCACTTTACACTCACAGTAGATAGTAGTATTTTGAACGGATACTACATATCATATTTACTATATTTACTATACTAACTATACTATTTGTTTTATACTATTTATAATTAAATTGTGTGAATGCAGATTCACAGCACTTGCGCAAGTAAAAAGTGCAAAAATAAAACAAATTGCAATTGCATTTAAAATCGCGAATTTTGCAATTTTGGTTCGCGTGTGAGTTTTAAAGTAATTGCATTCTTATAATTTTATTATTTTTTTAATTTTATACATATTATACATATATGTGTATTAATTATTGTTTGAAGCAACGGTAGTTAAAAGTCAATGTTCTCAATCGACTTTTATATAATGCCAAAGACAATGTCATGCAAATATGAACTCATCTTTTGAAATAGAATAAATGTTCTTCTTTTTCAAACTCCGGCCTTGGTCAGATACAATAAAAAATTATTTCAATTATCATAATATATAAGCCTTACTTTCTATGGCAGGAAAACATAGTTAACATGCGCATAAAAATCTAAGAGTATGTAAATAATACTTCGTACGTAAATCATAAAGGAATATTTCGTACTCTTAAAGGTTTCTTATTGATCTATATAACTACATATCCTTTATGCAATGCAATATAATTATTTCTTACATATTACATACCTACATATTCAATATACCGTAAATAGGTGTGTAAACCATAGAATAATCATCCTAACAGGCAGTAATAAAAGGTTCCTTTCCTAATTCGATAACAACAAAATTGGTAATATAGTGTTCCGAAAATCTGAATATCTTTAGTCAAGAAAAAACATATATGGCTTCCATATCTTGCAGACAACCTCAACAGAAACAAAAAATTCAGAAGTAACCTCACTCAGAAGTAAGATGAAAAATAAAAAATTATATATACTGGAACAAGTGACTAGGGCTACCGCAATTGAAAATCGTTCAGAGAATTTTTATATCGCACATGCAGAACCAATAAAATAAATGATTTGTTGTAGTCATTGATGCATACCCTACATAGAATATTAGTCAGTGCAGTTAGTGATTGACTATACAAACAGCCTGTTTTCAAAATTCCAAGGCATGTTATAGCCAATAGCAATTTTAAATCCACTAACGTCAGAAAATAAAGTGAATACGACGATATTTTGTAGTACTAATTATGTGGATTTCACACTACGAGCAACTGGTAAAAACATCACTTGCAACGTAGCTACGCTAGGGTTAAAGCTGAAGTCTGCGTTTCTGGAGCTTTACTTGTTAACAAAAAATCAGGAGGTATTAGCGACACAAAGTAGCAAAGGTCAGAAATCAAGACGGATTAGATCGCAACACGATATTTAAAGAGATTTTGAAAAAGTGGAACTGATCATTTAAGTTGAATAGGCAATAGTACAGACAAAATGTAGAAACGACGTTTAATGACTCGAAAGTCTAGCACTGTGTTGACAAGGAAATTTTTATAAACCGTAAGAAAGCTTATTAACTTATTCAATACCCATTGTAAATAAAATGATTTAAGAATTTTTTTTATTTTAAACTAGATTTAATTTTAAAAAATAACTCCCATACCTATATATATAAATGTATAGATATACCTACATAAAGCACACATATCTTTTTAACCAAAAAGAATCGTTATGCTTTTAAAAATCCTTACTCCTTAAATTAACATGTATTATATTAGTTCATTATTATAATATCAATTAATCAAAAAATGTAAATTATACTGATAATATATTGGTATGTGGGCTTACGAATTATTTGTCACGTAAATAGCTCTGACTCATACGTTCTGCTTGCTTCCACCGATTTTAAATTACCCGCTTTGCAAATATTTTATTTTAATGAAAAATATTTAATTTAAAATAAAAAATTGTATAGAAAATTCTATTACGTGTTTAAATAAACACTTTGCTATCTATAATAATAAAATAAAAATAATAATTATAATAAACGAAACAATAAACTTTCAGACACATTTTGTAGGGATTAGCGATTATTCCTATTAAAAGCTGGTAATGTGGGTGGTTTTCAATATTCTATTAATTAAACATTGCAACATTGTTGAAATAACATAATAGTAATTTTAATCATAAATTTAATAATAATAAATTGATAACTTAACTAATGTTAACAACTAAACAATAAATAAAACACAAAAAAATATCTTTTAATATATAAAAATAATATTTTGTAGTACGTCATTAACTAGTATCGTTTTAAGTATCACTGATAAAGTTTGTACTTCTTAAAAAAACAATACATGCTAGTCTGTATATAAAATATTTTGTTTAATTTCATATAATAAAGCTAGCAAACTGATAAATCTAAACATTTTATTAAAAATTCTTTTGCCTCTAACAAAATTAGTTTAATATAGATACTTCAAAACCGTAAAAAAAGTTAGATAAGTTTAATGGTGTATCAGAGTTTTAGATGCTTTAGGTTGATTAATTTTATTATATTATTTTATTTTATGTTTCCATAAATGTTTGATAAATTATTTTAAACTGATGACTAATATTGTATATTATATATATTGAAAAAAAAAATTATTATATATTATACGTGAAATAAAATAATTTAAATTTCTGATTTATATTCATGGAATTTATAAATATTATATATTAATAGCCGTATATTATTAAGACCGCATATGTATATATGTATACTAAATTTTTGTACGGACGATAGCGTATTGGGTTATATGCACTATCGTAGCGTTACTTAAATTTTCCATGCGGTTTCCTCTTTCATTTCTGTTGCTTTTATCGAATTTTGTTGCAAAAGTTTTATTGTACTTTGTTTTTTATTGAAACATATTGTATTTTTTAAAAATACCAAAATATTAAGATCTTTTCCTCTCTTTATAAATTATAATATATGAAAACATGCGTTATAAATAAAACTGGGCTCTTTGTATGCAATTTTGTTAGAACAAATCTAGTTTCAGTCAGTCTGCAATCATATTCTATTATAAATATGTATATATAATGTCTTATATAAATTTATTACTTATATCAGAAAAGTATTAAATAATTTTAGGAATAATTAATATTTTAAGTTAAGAAAATAGTTATAGATAATAAGAAATTTTTATGATTCAATATTTAAAAAGTAAAATTACAACCTCATTAACGTTAAAACCCTAATAAACCTTTTAAGACAGAATATCAAATGTTTGAAAAGTTAGATCAATTGCAATAAAAATTCTTTTCATTTGAGTACCATTTGAGGCCAGTAATTACAAATCACATGATCTTGATAGCCAATTTACATTACCATATTGTTAAATTACACAACTAGGAAATTTCTCACGCAATAAATCCAGAACGGGACGTGTTGTATGTTTTAAAAAACCATCCGTTTGAAACCATACATCTTTCAAAACTATAGTTTCAATTTCAGGCTAAAATAAATTGATGATCGTATAGCCTCAGCGATTAAAATTGACAGTTTGTGTCATATTATTGTCATTTTTAAAAGAGTATGGGCCTATCATACTTATAGATTAAAAGTTTTATCATACAATGATTTTTGGATACAACTTACAGATTTTCTTTGCTTTACTGGCTCTGTTACTACAGTTTTCTTCGTTGACAATACAACCAAATGAAAAATTAGCTTCATCACTGAAGAAAATATGATGCGAAATGTGTCTACTACAAAATTATACTTTTTTAGTTAACTTTCATAATTTTGACAAGATCAGCAATTATTGAACGATTTATATTTTTATATAACAAACCTAAAACTAAACATATGATATCTTGGATTACAGCTATGATTGGCATGTCACTAAAACTGTGGTGCTAAATCAGAACCCTGATATGGATAGCCCTCGAATTTCTCAAATTTTATTTCAGTATATGTTAACACACTGAATGACGTTAGTTAATTTTCCTCATACAAATGATACATACATATTATACGAGTATATATATACATATATTCATATATGTAAATAATTATAGTTTATAGATAAAATATGAAAAATAATTTGAAGGTGATTTTATTATTCTCATTGGTAAACAAAATTGTCAAGATCTTCACACTATTATTGATAAGCACTTGAAAATTATTATTAATGATATCAACTTAGAAAAACAAAGATATAGGAAAATTCTCAAGTGAGCAATTAACTTTGATTTCTCTGTAAATTCTTGTGCAAGTCAAACAAATATGCAATTCACTACATTTTAGTACTTAAGTTCGAGCACAGCTGAGAAGTGCACTCAAGATGTTGGCTTATCCGCTTAAAAATTTATCACAAATATTTGCGTTATATATACTCGTACTTTTTATTTTTACAAATGTTAAAGCGACAGTTGATCCTGTAATTGCACGTGAGTGTTACAGTTGCGAGGGCACAACCTGTCAAAGGACTACGAAACTCAATGTCACAACTACTTGCTATGATGCTTTGGATACATGTGTGACTATTTTTGATCAGTGTAAGTCACTAGCTAAAAACTATAGTTTTGAAATAATATGAAAAATAAAAAAAAATTAAATAAAACTTTGTTATTTGTAGTTACTGTTGCGGCTAAAGGTTGTTACTCAGATATGCCAGAAATTTTGCGTAAAAAATGCACCAACACTGCAAATCCTGAATGCTCTCAATGCTATGATCAATTATGCAATAATAAAGCTCGTGCCGATATAAAATGCATTGAATGCAATTCAAAGGAAGTAAGTTTTAAATATTTTATACATAAAAAGTAATTATTGAGTTTTGTTTTCTTTTTAATTTCAAGCAAATCCGATGCGCTACAGATACAAACTATTTAATACCTAAACAATGCGATGCACCTACGGCATCGAATACTTATTGTTACGTTCGGAAGAATGCAGATAATATCATTATCAGAGGTTGCCTCGTTCATGCAAAGGATCAAATTGCTTGTATGAAGGATGATACTTGCAGTATGTGTCATGCTGGCAATAATCCAGGATGTAATAGTTTTTCTTTAGTCACAAGTAGTGCAAATACTAATAAGAATATTTCGCATAAATTATTTGGTGTTTTTTATTTCATTCTGTTCGGATTTTGGGTTAAAAAGTGTTCCATAACAAATACCTAAAAAAAATTTTAAATTTTAAACAGAAAAAATTATATAAATATTATATATATATATATATATATATTACTTATTACTTATAGCTTTTGTAATATTTATTTCACGTAATAATAAAAAAAATCTGTGTCATTTAAATTATGACATGAAAGTTCGTTAAATATTATTATTTTTAAAAGAAAAATATATTTAAAATTATTATGAAAGAAACTTATTATTTTATAATTTTATAAGAATAAAACATTTAAAAAATGATACAAAAAATAATGCAAAATTTAAAGAAATTAAGAATGGTATTGATAATTGTTTTTATTTACTTTGTTAAAATAATACGTCCAGGAACGAACGAATGAAAAATTTGTAAATTAGTGAGGAGATGAAAACTATGATGGTGCTAGAACGAGCGTCTGTATCACTATGGTAAATGTGTCTGGAAGAGAGTATTAGTTTTTATATCGAGCGTCCGCTATAAGAATATATAACTCTTACTGTTACTTAAAGCCTCTATAAGCAATTGAAGATGTCTATTCCATCCTGATAGGTGCGGGTGGATACGGGTATTAATCTTATGCCCTGCTGTACAAATGTGTTCTTCTCACCGTTCAACGCTCTAAACCCAAGACAAGTTAGTCCCTAAGCCATTGTGACTTCATAACTGTGAAAATCTGCAAACGTTAGGGAAGCTATAAAAGAGCTTTACAAAATAACGAAATCGCACAACATCGACTCAGAAAACGTTGCAAATACAAGGACTTCTATTTATTCACATATAATATTCGCACTCTGTTTGTAGCAGATCATTACAACAATTGATAAATAAATAATATGGAAACGTTTAATGTTGCTATTATTTCATTATAAGAAACCGTAATAAAAAAATTGTATCTGTATGCAATTTTGTATTTACACCAAAGATTAAATACCATATATATAGCAATGAGTTTAGATACTCAAGGAACCTATAACTAGAAATCTATGTATATGGGCAATATACTATAAATATATGGCCAGTTAGTAAAAAAGTAAAGTGTGAATAGTCAATAAACTAAACATTGGCAACCCAGACTCAATTGAAAATTTTTTCAAAAATGAGTTAAAATCGTATAGAATTTGTATGCATTTCTTAAAAAACATATGATTATATGTAATAAATTGATGTATGATATATATGATATATGTAACACAAATAAAGGTCATTGTTTATTATTACAGAGTTCTCGAATACATCTTAAATACATGTAATACGTAAATTTGATTTTTTTTAAAAACCGAAATTAATAATTTATAAAACAATATTTTTTTTTATTGAAATAATTAGTATAAAATTTGTCTAGTATATAAGTGATTAAGTTAATAAAAAATTGATTATTTATCAGTGCATAAATTCTTTCCATTTCAAAAGTATAATTATGATATACTTTTGCTAGCAATCAGCACTCTTAAAATTCTATATTAAATCAGTTTTTGACAAGCAATTAAACGATCATAATCTAATCTTCCAAAACAAATGTTGTTTTATATACTATAAGTAATAAATCTGGTTATTATATTAACACGAGTGTGTATATTAATGCACTTAATCAGATGTGTTAACTCAGTTACTTGGAAAGGGACAAGATTTGTTAATGCTTAAGATGAATATCTTTTATATTCATACATGTGTATTTCATTACTTATAATTTTTATGGGGCTAAAGAAGTCTGATTAAACAATAGGCTCAAGGCAATCAAATTGCTTTTGAAATTAATATGAACTTTGTTATTTCCGCTTATTTTTTTTAATTCGGTATATATTTTTTCGTTGTCAAGTAGATTAATAACCTCCTATAGTAAAAATAAACTAATCTGCATTTCAATTGTGATAATATAAGTCATTTCCGATTAGTATCACATCAATTTTTTATCAATAATATGTTAACAAGTGACAATAATTCGGTACTTAAAATGAAATAATCTATACAATACAGTTTTAAAGTACTCTAGCTGTAGTTTTACAAATAATTTGTCAACACAATTTCTTCAGAATTGACCTTTAAATAAAATAAATTTTATATTTTATTTACTTTCCTGGGTAGCGACTCCCTATCATGTTATCAATTTAATAACTTATGAAAATATACTTGACTTCTAAGTATTTCGGTGATAACGTGATTGAAAAATATATTTTATATAAATAAAAATAATAATGTTTTGTACCTTCTTGCTGTGATAATTTTTATTGTCAGTTTTAGTTGTCAGCTTTTTGCACTTATCAAAAAATCTATAAAAGTATGCAGTCATCCACAGCTTTTGTCTATAAATCGTAAAATAAAAATGCAGAGCACATCGAAATATATATGCGCAACAATTTTAATTGCTGCAATTGTTGCTATTGCAAACGCCAATAGTTCCAGGACATGCTACTCTTGTAGTGGCGCTGATTGTGGACGTACTACAAAGTCAGTCACTGTACAGTGCTTTGATAGTTTGGATTACTGTGTGACAATTTTCGACAAATGTAACGAAGAAATTCGTAATATATATAAAAATAAAATAATACTATATCCTTTTATCCTTTCATCTAATAGTTAATGTTGTACAAAAAGGTTGTTCAATAAATCTTCCAATTGAATTGCGACAACGTTGTGATGCAAACACTGCCGAATGTCATAAATGTAATACGGATCGTTGCAATAATTTGGGACAAGCGAACTTTATGTGCTTGGAGTGCGATTCAGAAAAAGTATACAAATATAGATTTATTAAATCAAAATTCCATTAATTATTATTTAATATTATTTTTTTCTACATAGAATGCTGACTGTGCTAATAACCCAACTGCAATCGCAGCGACGCGTTGTTCTGCACCAACTGCTCCCAACTCATATTGCTACGTGAAGAGCGCTAACAATGTTGTCAGTCGCGGTTGTGCAACAAATATTGCTGATCAAGAAAGTTGCTTAAAGGATGCAAATTGTATGCTTTGCTTAGCTGGCGATATAACTAACTGCAATAGCGTTAACATCGGTGATATGTCAGCCGCTCAAAGGACCTTAGCTCTGAATTCAAAATTTTTATTTAATCTTCAGGGAAAAAAGTAGAGCTCAATAAAAGTGAAAATTGTATTTGTTAAATAATTGTTTATATATATATATAAAATAAATTTGAATTAATATTTTTAATTATAAATGCAATATATTAATAATAAATAAATAATTAAATTTTTAATACGCAATTAAAATTATTATTGATTGTATGAAATAGTTCCCATTGCAAATAAAATAAATAAGCTAGACAAAAATAACCTCCCTCTATCTTTAGTTACTAACTGCAATATAGATTGTAATATTTTTATTAACAAATAACTTTTCCACAAAACATTCTATTTTTTTTTTTGAACTTATATTTACGTCGTAGAGGTCTGGGTTTAGGTTCAAATCTCATTAAGGTCTGGTATAGCAAAACGTTTTAAAAAAAGCATAAAAATGTTAGGTGATTCCAGAAATACTGTTTCAAGCACTAATTAAACTCGCAAAAATGTCTACAACAAATTAATATGGAAATTTGATAATTTTTAGTATTGCTGTGGACTAATAGGTTTATGCGTGGTTCACCAGCAGTCAGATTAATTTTACCTAACCTATATTTACTTCGTCGTCTATAACTAACTACAATATAATATGATCTTGATCTATGTGAAAACGAATAGAAATAAAGTAACATTCATTTGTACAGATGACATCCTGCACACTGTGAGTGGCGAGGTTTCCGTTACACTATTTTAAACTAAACCTTTTTGATTGATGTTTTTCCACTATTTTGAAAAATAGTTATCAGTGAACATATGTATTGATGGCTTCCTAATATAATATATTTATTTTTAAATATATTTATATATATATATATTTATCTACCTCTTTACTAAGATGTTAATTCAATTAATAATCCGAATTCCCTAAAACCATATATAATTTGGGTTTCATCAAACCAAAACTGTACTATACATTTGAACCACTTTTGGTTTTGGTTCAGACATCAAGCTTAGATTAAGTAATATAAACATCACTTATCTGAGGATAATCCAGTAGATTTTTTGACGATGCAGTACTACTGCTTATTACATAATTAGAAGAATATATAGACTATATAGAGTAAGTAAGAGTACATAAGCCTGGATTTACTTTTTGTTCTTCTTATTTTACTTTTAATATTATCTTGTTAAGGACACCTCTTTATAAATTTTTTTGTACTTCTATGCCATATAAATATTGATTATTTAAATAAGTATTTCAACACTAATTAAGTATTTTAACCTTAATCGTAAATAAATGATTATTGTATGTTAGGGTTTAGAAATAAATACGTCGACATTCTACATTATGCCTACTACAGATGTAGATTGCGGTTTTGCTTGATTTCATAGGACAAAGGACAATAGGTGTACTAACCTAACCTAATATTCCTTCATCAAATATAAAATTTTATTATTATTAGTTTATTTTTTTTAGATGTTTCAATATTATCTTCATTATAATTATAATTATTTATAATTTATAATAATGAATTATAATTATTTATTATTATATTATAAATTATTATTATTAATTATATTTGGGGAATAGAATCTTAAATTTGTATTTTTATAATCATTCATAATATATACATATATTACCACAAACTTTTTTAAACATCTAGTTTTAGAATAGTGTTTCGGTTTTTATTTTCTTGAAGTATATAAGGCAATGACGAATATATATATATACACATGTAATATAAATATTTTTAAAAACTTTTTAAAATACTATTTTTTTATTATCTATCTATTAATATATAATAAGATAATAAATATTACATTATATTAGAGTGCTCTCAAATTTTATCTATTTAAAATGTGTTCAATGTTGACAAACAGAGATTAAATGAAGTGTTTTGAAGCAGATATTTATATTGAATTTCATATAAAATGCATGTTAATTGCTGGAAAAAAGTTTAATTGCATCAATATGTGGTCACGTTCACTACTAACAACTACCTTAGTAGTTCTCCTTTGGAATGCTGCAAATGCAGCACAGAAATGTCATCAGTGTAATGGAATAAATTGTCAACGAACGAATTATGACAAAACCGAGACTTGTACAGATGCTCTGGACTTATGTGCAACCGTTTTCGAAGGACGTTAGTACAATAAGTAACAAAATAAGCAGAAGAGTAAGAAATTGTTTACCATTGCCTTTTTTATTTATAGAATCCGTTCAAGCACAAGGCTGTTATCAGCAGTTATCATTGGAGTTACGTACAAGGTGTCAGGCTACCGATGAAATAGATCAAAGTGAAAGTGATTGTCATATGTGTGATGCAGATTTATGCAATAATGTTGGTACGAAGGCGTTTGAATGTCTACAGTGCGATTCAGATCAGGTAAGAGAAAATATTGCATAAATCGTTAAGATATTCAAAATTCCAGAGCATTGACTAATTAGTACTATAATTGTATTTAGAGGTAGCAAATAAGATATATCTCACATATAATTTCTTTTACTTACGACTGTGTGTGGAATATGTTATGTGGCAGATCATTCATCGTGTTTATATGAACTGTTAGACCTGTTCATCGCTTAGTTTAAATTTATAATGGGAATACCCTAAAAATATTCGACTTTATTAAAGAATGCGTACATTTATGTCCAACCAAATCAAATTAATGCGGATTAAGGTGTCGCATAAAGAGTGTAGCTGCTTCTCTAAAACTTCTTTTGTGAGAGTTTTAGAAACTTTATAAGTAGAATTTACTAGTGCCACTAGTGACGTGATGAATCGCTTACTCTAACGATTTCGCAATTTGTTAATATTTTATATTATCACGTTAAAATGTCAATAGCAAAACAATATCGAATATAACTCGTGTTTGTACTTGATCTAATCAGTTCTTTTTAATAAACTTGTGTGCATTTTTTTAAAATATTTAGTAAATTTAGTAAATTTATTGCTTAAGATTCTTTCGATAATTCTATCACTGCAATTTATCAATTCAAGTCAGTTAATTAATTTCAATTGTAATAATTTCCAGTTTTTCAATACTTTTGAATAACATATTATTTGACTGAAGAATTGTTATTAATTGATTTTAAAGAACATTTTGAGATTACTGTTATAGTACAATAACTGGAATTTTATTGAATCGGGGACGAAGAAGAAAATTACAAGTACATAAATATAATAATAATATCTATATAAGACTCACCATCATACTCACACGTTATTATTATGTAGGAAATGCTATACACAAATAAATAAATATTTTAATACCTAGGGAGAAGGACCTAGCCGTCTAGTTCCTTATTCTTAGTTAACTTTAAAATTAATTTTAAAGTTAACTCGCAAAGAAATTAATATTTTAATACAGTTTTATAAAATTAATTTTAAAATATACAAATCGAACATTTTAAATTTGTTAAATATTTTAAAAATAATGTTATTATTATTTATTCAGGATAAAAATTGTCTTGACAACGCTGCTGCTTTAACGCCTACGCGATGTTCTGTTTCGAGAGCAAGTAACTCCTTCTGTTATGCGACCTATGATGGTAAACGTACTGTACGTGGATGTTTGGAAACATTAGCGAAACAGAAGGACTGTTTGAATAGTGAGGACTGTATTCTATGCTCTCCAATGGAGTTAAGTGGTTGCAATCGTGCTATTTTAGCAATAGATGCAGAACCAGGTGATAATGATACTGGAAATGGTAATGGTTCTGGTTCAGGAAGTGGAAGCGGTGATGGAGATGGCAATGGTTCAGGTTCAGGTTCGGGTTCTGGATCAGGTTCAGGAAATGGAAATAATGGAGGAAATGGTAATGGTAGTGGTTCAGGTTCAGGTAGTGGTAATGGTAATGGATCAGGTTCAGGAAATGGAAATAGTGGAGGAAATGGTGATGGTAGTGGTTCGGGTTCCAGTGGTGGCAATGACAATGGAAATGGTAATGGCAGTGGATCTGGTACAGGTTCAGGTAGTGGTAATGGTAATGGATCAGGTTCAGGAAATGAAAATAATGGTGGAAATAATAATGGAAATAATGGTGGTGATGGTTCTGGTAACGGTTCAGGAAACGGTAACGGGAATGGAAGTGGTTCCGGCTCTGATAATGGAAATAAACCAAATAGTGGCACACAGACCTTAAATGTCAATATTCCTTTCTTATTATTGGTAACTGCTATTTTAAGTTTCTATAAGTAATATTAAAATAATATTAAATAATATTTTAAATACAAATTTCATATTATTACGAAACCAATATTTTATATTAAGATTTAATAAAAAAATAAAATTTATAACATTTCCTGTAATAACACATTTATTTTTATTGTTGCGATGAAATTTGTTAATTTATTACTTTATTGATTGTTTATTACAATAATTTTATAACTCAAAAAACAATTTATTTGTAATAATAGCTAATATATTTCTATTTTTTCTGCTATTCATGTGAAACTTATTCAAATATGATTCATAATAATATAAATGTTTTTTTATTACATTATTTGTATTTTTACTATTTAATGATATTTTATAAAGTTTACTCCATATTGCTGAAGTCGTGTAATGATGTTAAGGTAATGATTATTTTGTATTTAGAATTAGTTATTTTATTATTTTAATAAAATAATTAATTTAACTTTTCTTCACACATATTATTTTAACAGTTTGAATATATAAGCCATTTTGTTGGATAAACTCGCCACCTAAATTTGTTACACGAAAAAGTTAAAAACAATATTTACAATAAATAAAATTCACCTTCTTTTTCCTTCTATTACGTAAACACGTTCACTTCATTTATACAATTTCAAATATATGCATCAATATAAACCGAAGTCAAACTCCCAGCTAACCATACACAAAAAGCTTAAATATGTAAATAAAACAGAAAATAAAATAAAATAATTGAAAAAAAATTTCTGCAGGAATAGCATACAGAATTATCATATGTATATATATATAATTATATATTTGTATAATTTTCAATGATAAGGCAAAATTTATATAAAAAAGCTTTGTGAAAAGATTTAACATATATCTCCTTTATATCTATTTATCTAATATAATATGTGGCATGTATATATATGTAAATATATATATTACACTTATAAATAATAATCTGTACCTTATCATGTCAAATTTAAATGTTGTACAAAGTAATTTTAAATAATGATACTCTAATCTTTTATAATGTTGTTTGATGGTACCCCATATTCAAAAAAATCAACATTTTTCAAACTACATAAAGTCCATGGCAGTGAAACAGTGATTTCACTATAAGATCAATTAGAATGATAAATATGGGTGACCACAATTTGTTCAGATTTAAGACTAAAGTGCCCTTTAAACAGCATCGTCTGCTGTCAGCGGCCCCCACTTCAAAAGTTACTTATGCCTGCTTACATTTTCGTGGTAAATTTAAACTAACAAAACTGTGAGTTTTAATCTTCAAGATATCAGCTATATTTCACAATATAGCGGTCTTCAAAACTATTTTCAGGTTATCCGATTCTGAACGACTACAGCTTTCAGCGCCAGCGGTATTTTTTCAACTGCTTTTTAATACTGCATACCAGTCTATAATAATTTATTTTCCTGGTGGGGAGTCTCCATAATGGTTTTCGATACACTATTTGACTTAAACAGTTTTTTTCTGACCACAAAAACAATGTCTCATCAATAGACATGAAATGTAACGCAAATATATTGACATATATCAATATACTACAGAATGCTAGTCTCCACAAATTACATGGGTTTGTCACCAATATTGCCATATATGAATCATACCATAAATATATTAAGTCATAAGATAGCTAATATGATTTGTACATATTATAAAAAAATAAATATATACTATTATGCAATGATATATATTATTGATACAATAGATTTAAAGTCTTTTATTTCTCTTGTTAGGTAAAAGTAAGTTGAAATATAAAGGAAGTACGTATGTATATTGTATATTTTAAATCTAGACATACATTAATATTGAGTACTAAGCAATAATGTATACATTATAAGTTTCAATCGATTATACCTTCAAAGTGCTCAATAATAGTGTTTTATTGGTGCTAATTTTTTATAATACATATACAGATAATCTTAATAACTTCTTTGTTCTATTAAGTTCTTGAGTCCATTTCGCATTTCCTTTTCAAATAATACAATTGAATTTATCAGCAAGCAAAAAAGATTAAGTTCAAATTTTAATCACCGCACTTATTTATTAATGTTATCGTTGAAAACACGATATATATGAAAAATTGATTAAACATTGGATCAAGCATGGACGCACGGTTCCTTTGTATAATCTATACAAAAACTTGTACTTGTCATAAACTATTTTGCGATAAAAATTTGCGATTTATTAAGTTATATGTTTCATTTCATAACTCGCTGATATACTTTCGTTTATTTTTTTTATTTGTGGATTGCCATAAATAACAATTTTGGCCAGCATTTGAAGAATGCGTTATCATGCGCCATTGTTGCTTATACTATATCGATTAGAAAGCAATAATTTTTGTATCGATAACTGAGTTTGCTTCAGAGTCTATAAAAACCATTGCACGTATATAGGGCCAATTAGTTGCCGAAATTTTTTAAATCGAGGTGTTTTCAATCGAAAAGTGGGCAAAATGCTGCCCAAAAAAATAAAAATTGGAGTAACGCTAGGACTCCTTTTATTTTGCTTTAGCAATAATTTTGGTAGGTGCTGCCGACTACAATATTGGATTAACAACATTTTAGGATAACACAATTAAAGGATTTAATGGATTAAAAAGCTTATAAAGAAATATTACAAAGTGATTATCATTTAAATTGCAAGATTTATTGCAAAATTTTGGATATAAAAATAAATGTGAAAAGAATTTGTGTGTTTGGAATAAAAATAATTCGAAATAAATTAATGATTAATAGTAAAATGATATATATTTTTTTTAATTTTTGTGTGTTATTTAAAAATAATTTTTAAAAATATAAATAATTGTTAAAACATAAATTTAAAACAGGAACGAAATTAAAGACAAATAAAAATAGAAATAAACAAAAAACTAAAAAAAAATATTGTTGAAAAAAAATATATATATTTGCAAAACAAAAAATAATATTAATTGTGAATATATAATTTATAATTAAATGAACTGTGATAAAAATATTCAAAAACACGAACATCTTAGTGCAATTAAAAAAAATTTATGTATTACAATAATTATAAAACATTTGCTAATATTCAGTGTACGCAGGATACATCATTCAAGAATAAATAATTATTTAAGAATGATCAAATTGTTTCATAAATGTGAAAAACTAACAATAAATTCCAATGAAATAGAAAAAATATTTTGTAAAATTAAAAAAAAAATCTATAAAACTAAATACTATATAATAAATATTTAAATAAAAAAATTTGAGTGTTGTGGTTTTGAAAAAAATTTAAATTATGTCTTAAAAGTGTATATGGACATAATAGAATATAAAAAATTAAATATAAAAAATAAATTGATTGTACATTGCAAACATTATAAAAATATTTTATTATATTTTTTTTATTTTTTAACTTTTAAAAAAGATATAAAGAAGCATAAAATTAAATAATTAAATATAAATTTAATTAAAATAAACAAAAATAAAACGAAAATTAAAATTAATTAACAAATGTGCCTAACTACAACTGAGTGAATGATTAATTTTTAAATAATAACATTAAAAAACGTTATAAATATATAATTTATTATTATATTTTAAATATAAAATTTAATATAATACATTTAGTAGTAAAAAGGAAACTGGTGAATTTATTACCTGTATTTCAATTTATATTTAAATTTTAACTAATCTAATCTCATAATATTTAATATAAAAAGTTTATCACTTGTACAATATATTTATAGCTTTATCTGATATTTGTTAGTTATAACGTTAAGTATAATACATATGTATATGCTTTTGTTATATGCATATAATCATATATTGATAAAAGTAACTGCTTAAAAAATTGTACAAACAAATTATTTCAAAAGTCCTTGTTGTAGATATTGAATTTTTTTTTTTTTTGAAAATCAAATGGTGTTAATGAATTGATATTGAAAATTGTATATATATATGTAGGTTGCTTTGACAGTATATTTGTAGCACAGTACAATATAAATTGAAAATAATTGCAAGCTAAACTATCTAAAATGAATAAATAATAGGGATAAAAAATTAAAAAAAAATAGAGCTACTGCAGCTTTAACCAATATATAACGAATCTATGTCTTATAACGAATCTATGTCTTATAACGAATCTATATCAATTATTTTGACTATTTTACAAGCGAAAAGTAAAATGTATTTCTTAATAACATACTCGTAACCTCTGAAATATTGGTTTTTATTACATTGAAATAAATTTTATAAATTTAACAAATAATGTCGATGAGATAAAAAAATAATTAGAATTCTAAACAGTCATATATTAAGAATTAGAAATGATAAATGTATTTGCAATGAAATCAAATTTCCGTTACAATTTTGTACTTTTTTGCTGACTTCTAAGTAAATTTGCAATTAAATTTGTGCCTATTTTTTAAGATAATCAATATAATTTAAATTATATTATCTAATTGTTATAAAAACGACAATGTGAGTAATGATAATTGCAATAAATATCTAGCAATATAAAGTATTACATTGCCCCCATAAACACTAACATTATTATTAACTTTTGCTTTATAGTTGAGTTATACAAATGTAGTCATAAATATTTTATTAACGTATTAATACACATAATTAAATTTTGTTGTTAATAAAGTGAGACACATAACACTTTTAATCGTTATTTATGGTTTAGTGATAAGAATATAAAAGCGTTTGTAGTACGAGTATTTATATTAATTTATGATAATACATACAAATACGGTTCTTATACTTATGTTTTATAATAAATAAACAATAGCATTTTTTTTTATAATTAGTTAATGATTCATGCAGTAGATTATTTAAAAGATATTGATTTGAGACAGAAACCAATTTAGACCGTTGAATTTCAGCAATCTGCAAACAGTTGCTTTCAAAATTCGTCTTAATAACGAAAAGACACAAAATTAAAAAATCCAATACGAAAACTATACTATACCTAATCTCTAAGAACTTGTATGTTAATAAGGCAGATAGGACAACCATTAGTGCCTATGCAACAAATTCTAGTTACTTTTGTAGAGACACAAAATTAAACAATCCAATACGAAAACTATACCATACCTAATCTCTAAGAACTTGAAATAAGGCAGATAGGTCAACCATTAGTGCCTATGCAACAAATTCTAGTTACTTTTGTAGAGACACAAAATTAAAAAATCCAATACGAAAACTATACTATACCTAATCTCTAAGAACTTGTAATAAGGCAGATAGGTCAACCATTAGTGCCTATGCAACAAATTCTAGTTACTTTTGTAGAGAAAGACTAACTATATTTGAGTCATTTTTGAACTAATTAGAAACTAATTTTATTATCTTTTTTTATTGTGCACCTTCTATCATACTATACTTGAAATCTCAGCTTAATAGTCAGTTTCCAATGATGGCATATATAACGCTTGCGTTTTTATTTCTTCGCCACCACAAACTATATACCATATATATTTATATATATATTTTATTTTGGAACGATCATACGTTTGCAGATCACTAAAAGAGCACCAATCTATTTTTTTTTTTTGTAGAATATGATTTCCCTCAATAGAAGTTACAAAATATTACTTAAATACAAAAATACTATATTTATCTTTGCATAGATGTGACGAATAAAGAAAGGCATTGAGATTCACAGATTAAAATCAAATACAAAAAAGAAATAAATAATTAAATTAATTAATCGAAGATGAACTTAGGTGGTATTTAAAAGGTATTTAATTTGTAGCTTTAATATTTAACATGAACTTCTGCAATTTATATATTTTGGTATTAAAATGCTATGTAATATTGAATAAGACAATTAATCACTTTGATATCTTTCTTTAAGCTCAACTCCAATATATTATTTTAGAAATATATTAACATATTAACATATTAATACTCTAAACTGCTCACCGCATACTCAAGTAATATATTTCTTTTTATTTTTCCCTTTAGTAGCGGCAAATACTCGTGATGGTTCAAATTTCTGGCAAGATGGCCCTATAAATTGTTATACCTGTGATAGCGTATCAGATTGTTCTGAAAGTAAAGGTACATTACGCAAGTGTGAGAACAATAATGCGCAGACTTGCTTGACCGTCTTCAATGAAGATAGCACAGTAGCACAACGTGGTTGTAGTGATAGTGTGGCTGCTACCTATAGTAGCTATTGCAGTAGTAATCCAACAAAATGTCCGAGTTGTTCGTCTACTGGTTGTAATGTAGCCGACTCTTTGGATGTGTATGTGGAATGTTTATCATGTGATTCCGTGCAGGATTCAAATTGTTTATTACAACCTAATGCAGTAGAAACGAAGAAACTATGTCCAGGAGATTGTATGACTGCTCTTTATCCAACTGCATTTGATGGTACCAGCTCAAATTATCATTTAGTTCGTACTTGTTTGAATGATCGTGATCTTGATGAGAGAACTGCTTGTGCTGCGGGCAATGATGAGAAATGCAGAAGTTGTAGTGGTGCTAACTGCAACATACATTTACTTCCAGAAACACGTTTGAGATGTTATCAGTGCGAAGGAGATGAATGTCAGGACCCCACAGCAGAAGAGTGCCCAGTCTTTAATGAGAATATAGGTTGTTATATGCGTTTTGAGTCTGAAACGCTTGATCTAGTGCAGATGGGTTGCACTTCAGAGTTTGAAAATGAAACTATTATCTCCGACTTGGTTAAAAGCAAATTGTTGTATGTTTGCACAACAGATAATTGCAATGGTTATGAGTATGCACCAAATCCCAATGAATGTCTAAGGTGTAGCTCCACTGCAGATGAAAACTGTGCTAGTGGACCAAGAATGTTAGCCACTGAAAATAAATTATGCAATACCATGCCTTATACGCAGTGTTTCCAACGTGTGAATAGTGACGGTATTACTGAACGCGGTTGTCTTGCTGAGTTAGAAAGCGATGAATTCTTCGACTGTTTAACAAACGCAAATGGTGAATGTAAATCTTGCAATGGATATGAGTGTAACAATGAGGTAAAAATATTTTACTATACCATTTTTGAAAAAGCAAATAAAAGTGAATGTTTTAGATTATACCGAACGATCGTCCCAAATGTCATCGTTGCTCTTCTGATAGCGATTCCAGCTGCCAAAACTTGCCAAAAGCACTTGGTGTATGCCCAATATATGACAAAAATGATGAATGTGTTTCAGTTTACGAAAATGGCATAACACGACGTGGTTGTTTAACAGAATTAAGTTGTGATACAAATGCTAAGAGTTGTAACATCTGTAAAGGTGAAGGATGTAATGATCTAAATATTAAAAAACGCGCTGAAGATATATTTGGAGTTTTCCAAGATTTGCCATTGAGTTGCTACTCGTGTAGCGGAGAAGAATGTTTGACTGATACGCTTAGTAAGCTCGAATGCCAAGGTGACATTCATCAGGATTGTCTTACTGTGTTTGATGCAACTGGCAAAGTGGTTCGTCGCGGTTGCGAATCAGATCTTCAATCTGAATATGAAAAACATTGCGAAGATAATCCCAACTTGTGTTTTAATTGCAAATCAAATGGTTGCAATATTGTAACGGACGCAACTAAATATCAGGAATGTTTGATCTGTGATTCAGCAGATAATGCAGATTGCCTTTTTGAACCAAGTAGTGTGTTGACAACACGCAAATGTGTGGAGGGCTGTTTGTCATCACTATATCAAAGAAAGTCAGCACCACAAGTTTATGATTTTGTACGGAGCTGTTTTGAAGATATGGAACTCGAAAATCGTGATGATTGTACTGCAGACAATAATTGTGTTAAATGCACTGATGGAAATAAATGCAACACACAGGTCTTGCCCATTGAGGGCCGTTTGAGTTGCCATCATTGTGATGGTGCAGATTGTAATCTCCCCACATCCAAGTTATGTACAGGCTACAATAAGGATGAACAGTGTTACATGTATTTCGATAATGTCACTCATAGTACTTTGCGGATGGGTTGCAAAAGCGATTTGACTGATGATCAGATCAGTGCTGAAGTTAAACAGTACTTTATATGTGATGGCGATGATTGCAATACATATGAAAATTTACCAGAAGCAAATTTATGCTATGTTTGCAATTCTGCTACGGATGAAAATTGTGCTGCTGATCCCACTAAAATCTCTGCACAAGCTCGTTGCCAAAACTATCCATACACTGATTGTTATACACGAATCCGTAGTGGTAAAAAAACATTGTTACAAAATAATTGTTCATTTTATTAAGATCTCTTATCGTTTTTTTTTAGATGGACATACGGAACGTGGTTGCTTAAGTAGTTTACAAAATATTGACTTTCTGGATTGTTTAGAAGGATTGAATGGTGTTATCTGTAAAGTATGCACTGAAAGCAACTGTAACAGAGCGCTTTATCCGAGTGGTCGTCAGCAATGTTATCGCTGTAATTCTGTCACGGATTCAAATTGCGAAGATGCACCAAGCACAACGCAGGCATGTCCTTTGTACGATCCAAATGACAGCTGTGTTACCAAAATCGTTAATGATGTAACATATCGTGGATGTGGAACTGAACTTAACTGCAATGATGCTAGCTACAAATCTTGTCGTTCATGTGAAAGTAATAATTGTAACACGCTTAACTTGATCAATGAAGTTATTGGCGATCCCGGCATGTTTCAAGAACTGCCCTTAAATTGCTATCAGTGCAATGGTACTGATGATTGTCTGACTACTTTGAGATTAAACGTTTGCGAGAATAACAAACTCCAAACTTGTACTGTTGAGTTCAATAAAAATGGTGCTGTAGTAGCACGTGGTTGTAGTGATAAATTTAAAGATGCTTGCGAAAGTGCTGGCAACACATGTTACGATTGTAAATCTAATGGTTGTAACACCGCAAAAGAGAAATCAGATTATGTAGATTGCATCTTTTGTGATTCACAAAAGAACAACGACTGTATTTTTGATTTGTCAACCGTCCACCGTACACGTAAATGCAACAAAGGCTGTATGACTGCACTGTATCCACGCACAAATGACGCTGAACCTCCATATGAACTTATACGTACATGTTTAGATGATATGGATTTGGATGATCGGAATGTTTGTGAGAATGGTAATGATTTAAATTGCAAGTCTTGTAGTGATGGTAACTGCAATAATGATGATTTGGGTGAGCGTAAATCATGTTACCATTGCGAAGGTGACAACTGTCAAGATCCGAAACAGCAAATTTGTCGGGCCGTTATGGAGCATGATCAATGCTTTGTGGCATTTGATGAAACTCGTTCTATTGTAGAAATGGGTTGTAAAAGCAGCTATGATCCTGAAGATGTTAAAATACTTTTGATGGCAAAACGTATGTGGCTATGTGAAGACGATAATTGCAATACCATTAACAATGTGCCAACAGCAAAAGCTTGCGCTATTTGTAATTCAAGAACAGATAAAAATTGCGCTATTGCACCAGATAAGGTCACATCGAAAACAACATGCTCATCTGCGCCTTATACTCAGTGTTACACAAGATTAGTATCAAGTAAGTACAACAATGTCTTATAAATTTATTCTAAATTCTTGAAGTAAATTTGTAAACGACAGCAAATAGTTAAGAAAATTGTAAAAGTTTTTATCAAAAGATTTTAGTTTAAGCTTTAATTTTCTTTTTTTTTAAAAGATGGCCACACTGAACGCGGTTGTTTATCGAGCTTGGAAGATGAAACTTTCTACAACTGCTTGCAGGGACTAAACTCTACTGATTGTGTGGCTTGCAGTGACGCTAGTTGTAATTTGGAGGTATGTCATATGTTCTACCTTGCATATTTTTTTTAATTAAACATTTTGTGTAGATATTCCCCGAAGACCGTCGCTCCTGTCATATTTGCAATTCTGCAACTGACGATAATTGTGAAGTTGCACCAAAATCAGAACAAATATGCCTGAAATATTCACAAGAAGAAAAATGTATCAGTTTATTAAACGAAAATGGCGATACAGAACGTGGTTGTAGTTCCGAACTTTCCTGTGATTCAACCGATTCTATGACTTGTCAGATTTGCACTGCTAACGATTGTAACTTATCTAATCTTAAGCGAAAAAGCGATGGTAAACCTGGTAAATGGCAAGATTTACCACTTACTTGTAAGATATGTGATGGTGTGAGTGATTGTCTGAATCCATTCGATAACTCTGCTAAATGTACTGGAACCGAATATTGTATGACAGTATTCAACGAAGAGGGTTTTGTTGTCAAGCGTGGCTGTAGCGAAAGTGTCGAAAATGAATACGGCAGTTTTTGTGATGCAAATTCGCAAAACTGTCACAATTGTAATTCCAATCATTGTAATATAGCTACTAGCTTGACCGATTACATATCATGTGTATATTGTGATTCTGAGAGTAATACAAATTGTGTGCTAGATCCCGAAACGGTAAAGACAAAACGCGTTTGCTATAAGCACTGCATGACTGCCCTATACCCACGTGCTAATAGTAGTTCATATGCATTGGTACGTAGTTGCTTAGATGACAAAGATGATAAAGATACCTCAATTTGTTATCAATCGGGTCAACAATGTTCAACTTGTTATTTGGAAAACTGTAATACTAATATATTACCAGAAGATCGTTTGTCGTGTTATACTTGTACAGGTGCAAACTGTGAAGATCCAGGAAAAGCACTGTGTTCATCTTATAAAGTGAATGATCAGTGTTACATGCTCTTTAATTCGAACAGTGATATTGTGCAAATGGGCTGTGTTAGTGACCAACCCGATTCATTTTTAACTGATAATGTACTATCGCTTTTTGTGTGTAATGATGCTAATTGCAATAGTTTCGATAATATACCAAAATCAAAATTATGTGTAGTGTGCGATTCCTTGGACGACCCACGCTGCGCAACAAATCCCGATGATATACCCTTAGTAGAGACATGTAGTGCCTTACCTACGACGCAATGTTTTACACGTGTACTAAGCTGTGAGTAAATAAAATGTTTTTTGCTACTGATTTTGTAAAATATTTGTTATTCTAGCTGGTGCTACTCAACGTGGCTGTGTCAACACTCTTAGCAAGAATGATAAGACAAATTGTCTAACTGGTGATGGTACGAATTGTGTAACATGTGATAATGACGTTTGCAATGTAGCTGTAAGTTAAATTAAAAATTCGTTTAATATCACATTATATATAATATAAATATATATCCGTAAAGGTAGAACATATTGACGCTCAGCGTCTTAATATGTTGACTCTTGAATTGCTAGTTCAAATTTTAGAATTAGAATTAACATTTTTAAGTCTTAAAACCAAAGAATAAGTTTAAGAGAAAATTAATCTTTACTAAATTGTTACTTAAATTGTTTTATAGATATATCCAGCGGATCGTCGTCGTTGCCATCGTTGCAATACTGTTGAAGATCCTACTTGTGAAAATTCTCCTAATTCCGAATCTGTTTGTCCCAATTATTCCACAACTGAGAGGTGTTCGGCAAAATTAGTAAATGGACATACTTATCGCGGCTGTAGTTCAGAGTTTATTTGCGACGATACGGACAAGCAATATTGTCGTATGTGTTCCAGCAAAGATAATTGCAATTTAGTCGATTTAGTTAGTCAAGGCATTGGTTATGCTGGAACATGGCAAGCACGTCCCATTAATTGCTACACATGTCTAGGAGTAGAGTGCCAGTCAGAAAGTGCAGGTTTACTAAAAGTATGTGAAACAAATTATTTACAGAACTGTGCTACTGTATTTGCATCGAATGGTACTGTTGTACAGCGTGGTTGTTCTGATCTAATTTACGCGCAAGAATATGGACAATATTGCGATGAAAATCCAGATAAATGCAAATTCTGTAAATCGAATGGCTGTAATATTGCAACAAGCTTAGATAATTTCGTCGACTGTTTATATTGTGATGGTAGCGAAGACAAAAACTGTATCTCAAAAGTGAGTGAGATCACTACAACGCGCACTTGCCACCAGAAATGTATGACTGCACTTTATCCACGTACAGATGAAGAGAATCCTGCATATGAACTTGCTAGAGGTTGCTTGGATGATATGGATCTAATTGACCGTAACGAATGCGTTAATGGTGAAAATAATCTATGCCAAGCTTGTGATAACGGTGCAAGCTGCAATAAAGCTTTAATACCCGAAAAACGATTGACATGTAATTTTTGCACCGAATCTGATTGTGATGAATTTGTACCGAATGAATGTTCCGCATACAGAGAAGGTGATCAATGTTATATGATGTTTGACAGTAGCAACAGTGTTACGAAAATGGGCTGTGTAAGTGACTTGGATACATCGTTCATTCAATCACACAGACGAAGTATGTTCTTATGTGATAATGATAAATGCAATAACTATGACAACTTGCCTGTTCCAAAATCCTGTTTAGTTTGTAAATCAAACGATAATACTGCATGTGCTGTGGATCCACAGCGCAGTGGAGACATGGCGGTATGCAGTAACTTTCCTAATACGGAATGTTATACTCATGTAGATGCTTGTAAGTACCTTTTTTATTTAAAAATTTAAATAAACTTTAACCAGATAAATAAAAGAAATAAAATTATAAAAAAATCTCTATTTTAGTTGGCTTAACGCATCGTGGGTGTTTGTCAGATGTTGAAGATACTTTATTTGACGATTGTGTTAGCGGCAACAGTTCAACTTGTGCTGTTTGCGATTCCAACAATTGCAACAATGAAATTTATCCTGAAAATCGTCGTAGTTGCCATCGTTGTGATTCCTCAGAAGATAATAGCTGTGAAGATAGTCCACAAGATTTTGCAAGTATATGTCCCATCTATAATGCGAATGATGACTGTGTAAGTAAGATTGAGGGTAACAGTTTATTACGTGGTTGTGTTTCGGACTTTTCTTGTGATACCAGTCAACGCGACACTTGTCGCATATGCAGTGCCGATAATTGTAACGTTATTAATCTATTAGCTGGTTACGTTGGCGCCCCTGGTAAATGGCAGGAGTTGCCCTTAAATTGTTTGGTGTGCAATACAACAGAAGACTGCGCCATTGGTAGCACTCTACACAAATGCATGGGCAACAATTTACAAAATTGCATAACTGTTTATGATGTAAACGGTAAAGTAGAACGACGTGGTTGTAGTGACGATGTTGATGTTACACATGAGGAATATTGTGAAGAACATGCAGACAAGTGTTTGGCATGCAAATCTACTGGCTGCAATAATGCAAATAGTTTGGATGATTACATTGATTGCTATGTCTGTGATGCAACTGATAGTCAAAATTGTGCTGTGAACTTTGTGCCTTCCAATGCTAGAACGCGAAAATGTCAAGGACCTTGTATGGTAGCCTTGTATCCACGTAGTAGTTCAATTGACACAGCTTACGAATTATCACGCTCATGTCTGGATGATTTGGATTTAGACGATCGTGTTGAATGTGCGGCAGGCAGAAAAGACTTATGCGAGTCATGTGACAGTGGACGTTGTAATACAATGTTAGTGCCTGATGACCGAAATGAATGTTACAGATGTACGGATGAGGATTGTCAGGATTCTGAAACTCATGTTTGTAACGCATATCATCCTAACGATCAGTGTTATATACTCTTTAATGATGAGTCATCCATTATAAAGATGGGTTGTCGCAGTGATTTTGAATCAGAAATAGTGACAGAGTTAGTTAAACAAAAGAAACTGCTATTATGCGATGGAAAGAATTGCAACTCTTTTGGAAGTGTGGACACCGCTAAAATGTGCTCAATTTGTAATTCAGCGGATGATTCAAGATGTGCAACAAATCCAAATCTAGTTTCAAATTTGACAAGATGTGCTGCTTTGCCTTACGTTAACTGTTATACTCGAATTAATGAACGTAAGTTGAAATATATATTTAATCTTTTATATTTATATTAATAGATATATACACATACATATGCCATCTATATCTATATACTATATAGTATTCTATACTATGTATTTTTAAAATATTATATATTAAAGTTTTTAATTTTGCATTTTTTTTCTACCTCTATTTAGTTGGACATACTGTGCGTGGTTGTCTTTCAGATCTTGACGCAGATAATTTCTATGATTGTCTCATGAGTGAAGATGGTCTGTGCGATACTTGCAAAGGCGATCAATGTAATCAAATAGATGTGTTCCCAGCCAATCGTAGAAAATGTCATCAATGTAATTCTGCTAATAATCCGTTGTGCAGCAGTTCACCCAACAGTAATACGGTCTGTCCAATTTATGATGCACAGGATACTTGTGTAACTAATTTGGGACGTGGAGTCACTACACGCGGTTGCGCTTCAAGCATGAAATGCGATAATGATGCCGATAAACTTACATGTCGTGTGTGCAGCAGCTCAGGTTGTAATACTATCAATTTAGAAAGAATTGGTGAAGAAGGTTCACCTGGTAGATGGCAAGACATACCAATTTCTTGTTTAACATGCAAAGGTATAGAAGATTGCAGTGGAAATATTTCTTCTGAAACATGCGAAGATAATCAAAATTGTATGACCGTCTTTAATTCTGAGGACAAAGTTATACAACGTGGTTGTAGTGCTGTTGTTGAAGAAGATAATCAAGCAATTTGTGATGCAGATATTACCAACTGTCCCCGCTGTAATTCAAATAATTGTAACCTAGCTGATAGCCTTTCCGAATATGTCACATGTTTGTCCTGTGATACAGATGTTAACGGCGTTTGTGTACAAAGTGTGGACGATATAACTAAAACAAGAAAGTGTCATAAAGCCTGTATGACTGCGCTGTATCCACGTGAACAAGATGAGAATCCTGCATATGGTTTAGCTAGATCCTGTTATGATGATCTAGAAATTGAAGATCGCAACTATTGCGAAACTGGTGAGAAAGAGAACTGTAAGATTTGTAATGGTGAAAAATGTAATACCGCAGTTGTTCCTGAAACTCGCTTAAGTTGTAACACATGTGAAGGCGACTGTCAAGTTCCTAAGAGTATGTTATGCGCACAATACCGCGAGAATGATAAATGCTACATACGTTTTGATGAACAGCACAGCATTGAGGCCATGGGTTGCCGCAGTGAATTTAGTAATATTGAAGCAGATTACCTATTAAAACAGAAACGCTTATTCCTTTGTGGAGAAAATGATTGTAACACATTTAGTATTTTACCAGCAGCTCAACCCTGTTCGCTATGTAACTCGCGTACAGATATAAATTGTGTGTATGAACCTGAGAACGCCATTACGACGACTTGTAACGTACAACCTTACACGGAATGTTACTCACGCGCCTTAGCTGATGGTACTACCGAACGTGGATGTCTTTCGAGTTTATATGATGATGAATTTTTAGGTTGTTTGAATGGAACAGCTCAAAATTGTGAAGTTTGTAGTGGCAGCAGTTGCAACAATAAACAATATCCTACTGATCGTTTGAAGTGTCACATATGTGATTCTAGTAGTGATAATGATTGTGAAAATATTCCCAATAGCTTAACTTCCTGTCCCAAATATGATGCAGCAGACAGTTGCGTTACAGCCTACCGTAATGACATCACTTACCGTAGCTGTGCATCGAGCTTGTATTGTGATGGGAGCAACAATAGGCTTTGCGTTAAATGCACTGGTGCAGGTTGTAATACCGTTAATTTAGCTAAACGACAAGATGATAATTTTGGCAAATGGCAAGATTTGCCACTGCGTTGTTTAACATGTGCAGGCAATGAGTGTAAAAACGAGGATTTGGAGAGTTCAGTATGTGAAGATAATAATGAACAAGATTGCATAACTGTGTTCGATACTAATGGAGAGGTTGTCAGACGTGGTTGCAGTGATGATGTTGCTGTAGATTTTGGAGCTTATTGTGATCAAAATGATGAGAACTGTTATAACTGCAAGTCAAATGAGTGCAACAATGCAACCGAAACAACACAATTCATTGACTGTGTCTACTGTAATTCTTATAAGAGTCTGGATTGCATACGGAACCCAGTTAGTACCAATCACAAAACGCGTAAATGTCAAGGTGGATGCATGACGGCATTATATCCTGCTGATGGTAGCTCTAATCCAAGTTATGATTTAATACGCACGTGTTTGGATGATAAGGAAACTGATGAACAGTTGACGTGTTCAAATGATAAGGATGCAAATTGTCACACATGTGTTGGAAATAGTTGTAATATTGAAAATTTGCCGTCAGACCGTTTAAGTTGCTGGACTTGTGAAGGTGAAAACTGCGATGAACCAGAGTCACAATTGTGTCCCTTATACAAAGCCGGTGACAAGTGTTTCATATGGTTCGACAATACGAACAGTGTTAGTCAAATGGGTTGTGTCAGCTCATTCCGTGGTCAAGAGCTTGAGAATATAATCAAAACGAAACGAGTGCATATTTGTGAGGGTGAAAATTGCAACACCTTTAGTGATATACCAACGGCACAACAATGTGCGATTTGTGATTCAAATGATGATGTCAACTGCGCTGTAAATCCGATGCAGATAGGTTTATTTAATACATGTAATCAGCTTCCATACACTAGTTGCTACAGTAAATTAGCATCAGGTGAGTGGAGAAAATAGTATTTATGGTATTGTTGAATCGGAGTGTTCCAATATCTCTAAGTATTAGTTCCTTTTTAGAACATCCTTTTTCCTACATGATATAAATATATAATTTGCATAAAATAAGTAAACAAATATTTTTTCCACATTTATAGATGGCAGTACAATTAGAGGTTGTGTAGCAGATTTGCCGGAAGATGACTTCGTTGGTTGTGTCTTAGGCACCGACGAAAATTGTGGTCTGTGTGCTGATAATGCTTGTAACAGACAGGTACTAAAATAATAATTTTAATTTTTAATAATTTAAAATTTTCAATAATAATTTTATATTATAATATCATTAACAAATTTTTAATTATAAATAAGTCTAAACATAATATTAAAATTGTTTTGTAGATTTTCCCAGCCGATCGTCAACAGTGTTACTCATGTACCACCAATGAGGATCCAGAATGTGAATCATATCCTACGAGACAAATGGCTTGTCCATTTGTGCGAGACAGTGAGGCTTGTGTCACGTCCTTAAGCATTAACACTACTGTACGCGGTTGTAGTTCGCAAATATATTGTGATGCTAACGATAAACAAACCTGTAGATCGTGTTTCGGTGATACTTGTAATGGAATTGATTTACGCAATAAAGTTGATGATGGATACCACGGTATGTGGCAGAGCTTGCCTTTAAGATGTCATGCATGTGCAGGTGAGCATTGCAAACATTCACTTGGACCAGCACAGGCATGTACTGGAAATATCGAGCAAGATTGTATGACAGTTTTTAACGTAAATGGTGATATTATACGCCGTGGTTGCACAGATGATGTTGACGACTACGAAGACTTGCATTGCCGTTTAAATCCAGAGCTTTGCTTCAAGTGTAAATCAAATGAATGTAATATTGCTTGGAACTTAACTGATTATGTTCAATGTACTTTCTGCAACTCATCTGAAAATGCACTTTGTGTTACTAATGCCAACAGTGATGCATTAACGAGTAGATCATGCTATAAGGAATGTTTGGTTGCACTACAGAATGGAAATTTGGTGCGAAGCTGTTTAGATGACAAAGAATTAATGGTACAGCATGTGTGTCGTGAAAATGAAAATGGCAAGGAGTGTGCTAGCTGCGACAATAATAGCTGTAATAGGTTTACCTTCCCCAGTGATCGCCTACGCTGCCACACGTGTGAAGATGCTGCATTATGTAAAGAGACTATCGTACAAGATTGTGTAAAATATGATGAAAAAGATTTCTGTTTTGCTAAATATGTAAAGGGTAATGTCAATTTGAGTGGATGTGGTAGTTCACAAAGTAGTAGCGATCTCGAAACATGGGAGAATAATTTGAGTTTATATAAGTGTAATGGAAATGAGTGCAATGGTTTGGAACGTCTGCCTTTAAACAATTTTTGCGTAGGCTGCGATTCAAGTAAAACATTAAACTGTACAGAAAGTATCGAATTTGACACATTTGTAGATTGTTTCGCACCACATAGTGAGTGTATGACTACAATTAACTCAGGTAAATTTCATTGACAAAAAAAAAACAAATACAAATTTAGTGAATATATTTTCATTTACTTCATAGATGGAGATACTATAAGAGGTTGTTTATACGACTTAGATAAATTGGAGCAGGATTCTTGTGTAGCAGCAGGTACTTGCGCCTCATGTACTGGTCCTGCTTGCAACTCAGAAGTAAGTACTTATAATGTTTAAACAAATCTGTAACAATATTGATAATATATTACATTTAAGTTATTCCCTGTTAATCGTCGAAAATGTCATGTTTGCAACTCGGTGGCTAACTCGAACTGTATTGACTCTCCAAACTCCGTTAAAGTTTGTGCCAAATATGTTGCGAACGATAAGTGTGTGACTAAAAAGGATGATGACGGCTATGTACAGCGTGGCTGTGAAAGCGATTTTACTACAACATGTGATGTAAATAATGAGAAGAATTGTGAAATTTGCGCTCAGGATGGTTGCAATATCGCTGATATGTCAGATGCTGTTGGTGCTATTCAGAGCAGTGTTTTCATGACACTACTTTTAGCAATTTTGCCGCTATTGTACTTTTTTAATCATTAATATTAGTATCTAGCTGAAATTAACGAAATTTTAGGAGAAATCACTCATTACACTCATTTGACTGCGATTGTTTAGCACAGTAGTTTAATAGAAATTACCAAAAACTCATATGGATACTTAGCACTGTCTTTTTATGTTAACGCTATGATCTTTTTATAAGTTATTAAATAAAATTTGTATATAAATCGAAATATATATATGTATATAAAACGAAACATATATATGTAGAAAGAACGAAACATATATATTGTAAATATAAGAAATTCAATAAAAAATTTATTTAAAAAAAATAAATTAAAACTTTTTTAAATTAAAATTGTTAGAATTTTTATGCCCCTCTGAAACTATATATACTTTATATAGTCTCTTTTACATCTTTTATGACAATGATAACTGATGACTGGCAACTGATGTATTCATTTAAGTTTCTTTCGTAGTTCGAATAGAGAGTTCAAAAAAATAATAATAATTTTAATCAAAAGAATTCTTTCAAGCCTTTTATTAATTTTTATATATGCATTTACAAACTTACCTTATGTGGATACGCTAAGTGCCAAGTAGCATTAAACTTTGTCCCTGACAAAATTGAAGTGCTTATTGAACCTATAAAAAAATTCAAACATATTTAAATAAGTAAATTTATTTAAAAAAAACGTGTATAAATATATTTTAAAAAATTTCAGAGTTTTGTGTTTATTTAAAGGTATTAATTTGATCTGTTAAGATTGATTTTTCACCATTTACTCTTTAGATAGAAGATATCAACAAAATTTCTATTACATAAATTTTTTTTTGTAACCAATGATATTTCAGTTTCATTAATAATTGAAAATTAGTTTTCTGTTTGATTAATCAAGCGTTACAAATCTAGAACAGCAAGAAATATAATTTTCTGTTATTGCAGTTATATGTATTTTCTTGTAAATTGTATCTGAACAAGTTTTTGTATACGTCATAATCGATGAATTATTATGAATTTACTGGAATATAATTGGGACGAAAAAATGTTATAGATAAATATGCATGTATATCCGTCCAATCAAACCTGTTATATGACTTTAATATGAATGTCTAAATAATATGTAAGTCTACGTATTAACTTTGACGATTGTTAAATTATATCTTTAGCTTTTTTTTTAAATTTCTTTCCTGTATACCACAAATTGCAATTAAAAATAATAAATAAATTTTTAAAACTATAACTACTAACAATAGCATAGTCAGAATGCTTACAAAAGAGATTGACCCATACACACCCACCCACCCACAATGGTTTGAAGAAGTTATTGCTTAGATTTCATTAATTCCTTCATATTCATTTAATCGATTTGAAATAGTTAATTTAAAAATAATATTAATAATATAATATTAATAATAATAATAATAATATTAATTAAAAAGATTTATTTTTTATATCCATATTTGTTCAATATAGGTATGTATATATAACTAATGTTATTAAATGACTTCAGCGTTGAATAAGTCCTTAACTTTTTATTTAATGAAAAGTCAGAGTCCTACATGACCTTGATGTTAGTTAATAAAACAAAATGTTTATTTTATTAAACATATAAAAATACAGTTCAGATTTAAAAACATGCACTTGTCATAATCAAATATTATTTTTATTTTTAATTTAAATAATGTAAAGATACTTTCAAGTTCAATTGACTAAGACGCGTGACTGAAATATGGATCGACCCTGAAATGTTTATGCTGTAAAAGCATGCTAAAAATTTAAAACTTTCAGAAATCAAACAGATACTTATATAGATAGAGCGACAATTTTAATTTACATGCGTTAAAATTTATTAAAAAACCAAAACTTTTTTTAGTACATATCTGTCATGTTTACAGACGTGAATTTAATATGATTAAGTTTCTAATTAATTACATTGAGCAACCAATCAAAATGATTAAAAAGAACTTAGTAAAATTAAGAATGTAATTGAGATTTTTATTTATTAATTAATAATTAAGTTTTTTAGATGTATGTATATATACGTTCTTATAACGGAATCTATCAAACAGACTTTAGACAGAACGTCATTCAAGATGTTTATTATTTTTAATTCAAAATTAATTGATTACCGTAAACATTCCTTGAATTTTGAATAATCATGGTTTGAGAATTTCCATTTGTATTAATATATTTTTATTTTAATATAACCAGAGTGTTTATCGAAACTTTATTAAAGTTTTAATTTAATAATGTCTACATTATAGTTACGACATAGCTTAACTCTATAATCAGAAACTAGATAAGGTTAGATATAACTTTGACTCTGCAGTAGTTTTCGTCCATTGCCTTTTCGCAGTGGTCTTGTTATTAGATGTCCCTTCCGTTATTAATAAAGTAACTCAATGTTTCTTTCTTACTTAAGCGTTATTTATGTCACTTCAACCAATTTATTCTCTTAAAGAATTTTAAAAGGCTTTTGATATCAGTTATTGATAATTCTTTGGTATTCTTGAAACCGAGTCCTTCAAGAACTGTAGATTGGCTCCCTGCAAAGACCGGATGTCTTCGCAATAAGTGGGAGCATGATAAATTTTTAACTTCTATTGTCTGCAAAGTTCGAGTATATATATACTATATAATATAAAGAACTTTATTTATTGTGTTAGACATTTTTTTAAAAATATATTAACCAACTTTTAAAGTATGAAAGTTATGAAAAAAATAAATTATGCTCATACTTAAATTATACAGCAAAAACAGAACAGTTTATGAACCAATATAGTGTTCTAACTATAGAAAATATTTCAATATGGTTATATATGATTTTTAAAAAATAATGAAGTTTAGTTCTATTAACGAATTATTTAGACAAAAATCTTTATGAGATCATTAGCATTAATAATTTTTGCTGCTAATAACTCAAGCCGTAGCTATATACATATATAGTATAGTTAAATATTTTTGTATATATAATTTATAAATACACTTAAATTTTTTTATTTGTACTAATTTCTTATAAAATGAAATTACTTTAAATTTTAAATTAAAACGAAAGTTGTAGCAATGTAAAACACCTGTAAAGTTACATTTTTACCAAATATGCAACTGGGCGGAAATACCAAAATCACTTCCAATCAATGCCACGAAAAAAGATAACAATTTATAAATTCTTACGAAAAAGTCGTTGAACCGGCTTAAAATGGGTTAAATGAAACTGCTTTACATTCGCGGTTCAGAAGATATTTTCATGCGTTGCGTCAAGTGAAAATGTATATAAATTGATTTAAAGGAATAAAAAAAAAAAAATAATTTTTAAATGTAAGATATTTTAAAATAATGTTTTTATAGTTTGTATATTGCTTCGTACTTATAAGTTTACACTGCAAGTATGCAAAAATCAGTTGAATGTATATTTTGTATATACGTATAATATATATTTTTAATATAATAAAATATTTTATGGGTTCTCAGTAGACATGTTACCCCAATATATGTATTATTGTGTACCGAGCTTTATTGACACAACTCTTTATTGTCTGGTTTTCTGGTGCAGTATGCAGTACACGCCTCTTAAACTTTGTAGATGAAAATTTATGGCTGGTAATTAGCAGGTGTTGCTTGGTGAATACAAATTTAACGCAACATAATCTCAGATTTGTCTTAATTAAGGCTAAATTCTTAATGTTTTGTTTACGCTTTATTTGCTTATTGATTTTAATCCATAAATTCTGGATTTTTTTATAATTTTTGAAAGTTGATCACCTTTTTGAAAGAGGTCAAGTGTAATGAGCTTGTTGATATAAGCCTATAAGAAGCTGCGGGATATGCTTATCATTAACCTTCTGAAATATGAATGATTTATAAATAAAATATATTTGTGAAATATATATACATTAAATTAATTAATAGAAAATGTTTTCAAAATTTTTAATATATTAATAAAAAACAATTGTTCTATAAACATTTATATTACATATTCAATTATTTTCGCAAGAAGGAAAGAAAGCGAGTTTAATGTTCATTTAGAGTTCAATACCATTTTCCATACACTTTTATAATCTCAATCAATTAAATTTATAAATATGATTGATTGATTATTTATTGTATTTAGTGTTTCAATCTATGTGATAATATAGTCTCCATCCTAAAACAAACAAGTTTAGTTATAATATTTAAAAATCAGATAAACTGTCAACGGTTGCGGCATAAAGAGAAAATTTAAAAAAAATTGTGAACAAAATTTTCAACACTTTCACGCTTAAACCCACCTTGGCATAGACAAATTTATTTTTACTTCATTTTATTTTTGATGGCCAAAACTAATTAAAAAAGTGACTACCGGCATCTACAAATATAATTAATATTTGTCATTTACTATATATCATATTTGATGTAACCGGCAGAAGCAACCAGAGGCAGCCTTCAAGCTATTTTATTTATATGTTTAGTCATAAAAAATTAATAAAATTTATGCAGTTAAAATGTACTTTCGTGAGAAATTATTAAAAATGAAAGTTAGTTCACTAAAAATAAACATATAACAAAATAAATAATTATTAAATAATTATTAAAAAATAATTTTTAGAATATATCGAATTATTCAAAGACATATTTTCTTTGCATAAAATCGATTATAGTTACATTACATATATAATATTTCGAATTTAAGTGTAAATAAATCGTTCTTTATGTAATACCAGTATTGTGGTTTACATTATTCTGGTATTCGAATTTTATTTTCAATTTGTTTTGATTTTCAATTCACACTCATTGATTGCTTTGTTCTGGTATTTCATTGTAGATTGCATATTGCTGATTGCTACTTGTTGAATTTTTTACATTTATAAATGTTAGTTATGTTGTTCATTAATTTCATATAACATATAATTCTCAACACAGCGCTTTTCAATGCATATAGGGTGGTATTTCATTTGTTCAATACCAAATTGAATAAAAATTTGATGTTAAATTAAAATCAAATTTTAAAATCTTTAAATTATTATATCATATATTATTATATCAACTTACATCTAGTTCTATAATATATTGCATAAAAATTTCCAGCTTTAATATACATACTCTAACGCAGGGTTATCCTGACTAGATGCGATCACGGGCCAATACAAATCACGGATTGGAGGGCCACAGATACAAACACATACGTTCATAGTTGTTTTTGACAAAAATAAAAATACGGTTATATTAAATTTAGTTTTATTAATTTATCAATTTAAATTCATTTATTTGGTATACGAGTATCATAAAAATAAAATAATGTGGTGTTACCAGTACACCAAAAGAAAATTTGCGTAATTGTAGCATTCGCGGGTCTCACAAACTTACCCATGATTTGGACAGCCCTGCTCTAACGGACAGTAATTTTGTATAGATATTGTATGATTCAACAAATATCATCCATTTATCAACTTGACCAACATAAATTAACAGAGAATAAAAAGTACTTTCAGTACAAAGTTAGCAATTACCTTAGGGACTATCTGCTGAACATCCAGATAGATGTAGTATATAAAAAAAGGACGAATAACTGTCAATTAGTGTTAACACATTGGTAAAAAAAATAAATGATTTATATATACTCCGAGACTTGATTCACTGTGATAAATACAAAACGTTTCACAAA